TTTTTCAGGCCATTGGCAACTGTTTTTGGCACGCCTCTCACGTAGTTGCCCACATGCCACATGTTCGTTTGCCCTTGCTACCAACATTTTTCAGCTAAATGCATAATTTGTGGAGCTGACAAAAAAAAATCGGCAAATAACCTTGCTTTGGGCCAGTGTGCTCGACGAGAAGATACCCAGTGCTGTATAACTTTGCTTAAGGCATTTTAAAATGTTGCAGAAAAATTAATGAAAGCGTTGGAATAGCAAAAATGCGCTTGGAAAGCATTTTATCGGTTTGTCTGGAATGCTTGAAGAAAAAATCAAACTCATTTGATCACTCGTCATCATATTTTCTAATGAAAACTTATAAAATTATACAACTAAAATATACCTGATTCTTCTTGTGCCAAAATCTTCGAGCTCCCCTGAAATAAGAAATATAACCATTTCTCCGATCGATCAATGAACTAAGAGTTAGTTCGTAAACATCCAAATAAACTATATTGGAATCCCCGGCAGGCATTCGTATTTATATATAAATCGATTCATCTATTCAAACTGAAAATAAATAAAAGTTCATTTAAATGTCTGTCTGTTTACGCACAATTGCACAACTTATAGCCCGTTTTTAAACCATTTCATGGGTACAGGATATAAAAACTTTCGTTCGCATACACACTTTCCACACAATTCACAATATTGCGCCTAAAAGCTGGCAATAGAATTGTAAAATGCCTTGAGGCATAATTTATTTGAATTTAACATGTGCGCGCACGTACTCCGGCCAGGGAGTAGAGCGCCGGAAGCATGGGCAAATAATTTTTTTGGACGGCCGCAGGATGCGGGAAGGCGACTCCCACAACAAATTTGTGCCAAGTAATTGCGCAAATTATTGCACGTAGCATCGCCTAGGCGTAACATATGTCTGAGCTGTTGTCTAGGCGCCGCAGCTGGCACTCGATCACACCCATCACACACACTCGCACACACACCCATCACAGTTCACGCTACATTAAATTAACTTGACATATTCGACTGCGGCTCGCGCTGGCACGCAACTGTTGCTAATTTTTGCTTAATATGCCGCACAAGCTCATCCCCCACCCCCTCTCGTGTAACAACGGCTATGCAACATTTTTGGGGGCAATGCTGTCCATCTACTTCATTGGATTTGTGCAGCACATGCTGCCCCAATGCTCATATGTGCGTATGGTATAAATTATCCAATTCACGCCTCAGCGCATCTCTCGCCCTTGGGGGCCGAAGGACATAGGCCACAAATTGTATTACTTCGCATGTAAATGCAACACTTAGGCACGCATCGTCTCCAGCTTCGACTTCAGCACCAACTCCAGCGCCAGCCCCAGCTCTAGCTTCAGGTTCGGCTCCATTTCCATTACCATCTCTTCAGGCTCTGCTGCTGCTGCCATTTCCATTTCCACATTCAACTCGTTTTGCACTTGTGCTCTGCATTTGTATTTGTATTTTCGAGTGTATTCGTTTGTCTTTCGGTATTTGTGCTTGAAAAAGTTCCAATTGCTGCTGTCAAATGGCACGTGAAACAATGCGTTAGGCACAATTTGGGGTGTTAAGCAGGGGTTACGTAAGAGCACAGTGGGACTGAACGCACAAATATATTAAAGAATATATTGAAACAAAAAGTTTCAATAACTTGTAATTTTACGATATTTTAAACTTGAATTAAAGAGGAATATTTTCGTATTGTAATTAATATTAAAATTAACATAACATGATATTTTGAAAAATTTATAATATAAAATATAAAAAAGTATTTAATCAATATCTCTATATATATAAAAATTGTATTCTGACTTACTGACAGACTGACTAATTGGTGATCAACACACAGCCCAGAAGGGATTTTAAGAAACTACACACGCATGTGAGGAAAATTGGCGAAAAACGGTTGCATGGACGTTTTTTGTTTACCATCCGATCGTCATGAACATCATTTCCAAAGATAACTATGAAAATTATTCTGATTCGTTTTTCACACATTTCGCAAAATCCACCCTTCGTGGATAATAAATGAATGGGCGAAGTTTCAGGTGTAAGCTCATTGGCAAATATTCTTAAGAAAATCCGTTTAAGACGTTTTTTATACTTTTAGTAAAATCCATCGGTTCTTGGTGGAAATGAGGGTCAAGGATTTGGTGGGTAAAGTTTCGGGCTCAAATTTATTTCCAAGGATGCATATAAAAATTTCGTTAAATCCAATACGAGTCAAAAATATATGTGAAAATTGATTTAACACGTATTACACAATCCTCCCAAAATGCATGTCATCAAAGTTATGTGGTTTGCAAATTCCGCGCGGAATTATGTCTTTGCTTAGCATTATATTTCCGCCGTTGGCCGTTCGCGTCTTGGATTGCGAGTTAATTAGTATTATTTCATTTTAGTAATATCCAATAAGGTCGCTTTGCCTACCATTCCCTTTGGATAGAAAATGCAGCATCAAGATTCTAACCAAGAGAATAAAGTGAGCGGAACACGTTAATTCCAACACATGGTTCTATATTCGAGATACTTTTAACATATTTAACTTTAACTTAACTTTACCTTTATACGTGGAGGTCATGATAGTACAGGTTATGGATGTTTAAAATTGGAAGCAAAAACTTATACCAGCCAGTATAACATATATGTATATTTTATAGTCTAAAATAAAATAAAATCAAGTAACAATGATAGAGAATGATGCTTCCTTTTCATTATAGCCCGAGCCACTGTACAAGATTTTCTTATTGCTCCTGTTGGCACAAATCAAGCAAAACGACAATGCCTATGCGAATGTGTGAATTTCAGGACGATGACAACTGATAATAGATCGAATTACACACGCTCAGCACAGCCGCCCGAAAAGAGAAACAGGACTAGAGCAGAGCTAAAGCCGGAGATGTAGAAGGGGACGGGAGACAATGGCCGGGGCAGGGCAAAGCTGTTCCAGCTCTTGTGCGAAGTCCCAATTGTTGGGTGTAAATGTGAAAAATGTCTAGCAGGCACACAGGCAGTCACACGTTCCACACACGCACACTCGTGCACACATGCACACGTCGAGGACACGACCCTTAAGACCCGAAAATGCGGCACAGCATTAGATAAAAAACAAAGGCATGTAATTTTTGGAGCATAGCCGTAAGCCACAAAACGAGCAGAGAGGCTGGAAAACCGGATTCGGAAACGGAAACGCTTGATAATCGCAGTAAGCGAAAATGCAGCGTCAACTGGGGCTCAATGTGTGAGGTTAAACACGTATCGAATCTGATGATGAAGTCAACGTAGATAATGATGATGGTGATGGTGATGATGATGCCTGATGCCATATACCTGATAATGTTCCGTGAGGTGGATGGGCTCAAATCACGTATACACGAATTGATAAATGCGCTCTGCTAAGTGGCATGTTTTGGGTTAAATGCGGTGTAAAATGTGTGCGAGCCCAGCTCCAAGTAATAGCATAATAATAACAGCTTCGAGAGGTAGAGGTGGGCGGGGAGAGCAGCTCCAGCACCTGAGTGACAGTTCAGTTAGCTGCCAAGACGGCAACTGTCAGCGTGGGCGCTGTGACGCGTATAAATCGCCCAGTTGGCGGCGCACCTGGCGCACCTGGCGTGCCAACATATGCCACACGGCTGGGCCATGGACTTGTACATACATCTTGCTTACAGGCCAGCGCCAAATTGAAATTTAAAACGGTAAAACCAATAAAAAACAAGCTACAGACAACGACGACGACGTCGACGACGACGCCGATGACGACAACGAGGAAGGCGGCAATACAAATTGCAGCGACGACAGCTCAAAGGCGGCTCGGCCCCAGACCCAATCTTCGAGCTCCAACAATTCCTATCCCCAAATGCAATTCGCGCCCGGCCTGCATACAAATGCCAAGCAGCCAAGTCAGCCAAAGGATAATATAATGCACGTTGTTGAAGAATAATGGTTCTGCCAGAAGACAACAACGTCTCCGCCAATGTCTAAAGGACTAAGCATGTCTGCCAAAGGACCCAACCCATGGCCAGACTCAGCCCAACTCAGGCCGAGCTGCTCGCTTGCTGCTCTGCACTTTGTTTGCCGTAGACGGACAATAACGATGCCAGGCAGCAATGACAAGCGATTTTAATAGAATCTACGAGGCTTACGCCAAAGGACGCAAACGAACAGCGGCCAAGTCAAGTGAAGTGCGGGCCCAGAAATATTAATGCTTGGCCTATGAGATCTCTTTGCCGTCATCGAATCGCCGAGCCAGCCGGACGCAGGCATGTTATGAATATGTTAGTTATTCAATTGTCATCAATTAAATATAGACTTCAAATGAAAAAAATCCATTCACAATATGCATTTTAAATTTTGTGCAGCAAGTGAATCTGTATTGATTAAAGACAAGGAATTTGTCTGAACAGACAGGATTCGGATTTGAGTCTCGGGCTAGTGTATGTGTTATTGGAGTAAATATAATATATATGTATAATAATAATACTACAAATTTTAATAATAATTACTTTAATAATAAAAATAATATTAAAACGTTTAAGCAAGGGACACAAATTAAGCAATACTTAAATACTGAGTATTTGGTGTCTGCGTGGCTGGAGCTTCCAATTTTCATTTGCCTGGCTTCTGAATTCCGTCATTCCTTTGATATATTCCTTGTTGCTCTTCCTCTCCTCTTCTTCCTCTCCTCTTATATAAGAATTGATTAAAAAGGTGGAGTTCGAACTCTCATCTTTTCTTTTGCAAAGCCGTCTGCCTTGCCGCTAAGTCTTGCCCGATGTGAGTTGTCAGTTAACTAAGAATATAAATGCTCCCATTTCATCGTACGCTACTTTATGCTAAATTTAATCAGTATTTTTCATTCAAAAGGGATCAATACTTATCCTAGCTCGCAACATAACCACACATTTTCGCTTGGCCGTAAGGACATTCAACAGAAAATGGCATCAAAGCAACATTGAAAATCGTTTTAGATCTATTTGACATTGAAATAACTTTAGTTACATAAACTACCAGACACTATTTAGTCTTCCATAAAAATTCTTTTCTCATTCAAAAAATTTGCAATCTTATTCCTTCCACATCTATCCAGAATGAATACAGCGTCGTTAGAAAAGCTTGCTTCCTTTTGCAAGTCGCTGCGCGACTCGGAGCTGCGTACCCTGGCGCTGCTCGGTTGTCCCATGAAGATACGTAAATCACGACACTTTTTTCAGCTTGTGGTCACTGTGCGCGGACATGTTGATAATGAACTGCCGCCGGATTCGCGCATTAGTTGCAAGATGGTGTTCATGTGCCCCAAGTTCTATCCTCGCAGCTTGCCCGAGGTGCATATCAGATCGAAAAAGAACTTTCCCGACTATTTGGAGAGTGTGATCTATTCGGAATATGAGCGTGTCACGCATCTATATCGCGGCTCACAGTATATAGTACCCATGGTGAGCAGTGCCTTATATATGATCGAGCGGGAGGAGCGGAAGTTTGTGCATGCCATGGGGTCCGTGGGCAAGTACATTAAAACCAAATTAAAGAGCTATAATTTGACTTTGGCTTACTTTTTCAGATGAATCAAGAAATTTGTAAGCCCTCGCGGGTTGCACAGCGACTTGTTTAATAGAATGCGTTTTTAATAGTCTTGAGTCAACTAGAAGTGTTTTTATTTTCTTTCCTAAAATTAATCATGCGTGTGATTGCGTATGTCGACCTAACATTGGACACTTGGGATTGAGAACAATGCTCAATTTTATTTCTCAACAAATTTACCATAAATGCAAATTTGAAAATCTTGATAAGTGAGAACTGAGAAGTTTAGTAAATGTAAATACCAGCTTGAACATTTATACAATTTTAAAAATATATATTTATAATTTACATTTACATACCTGCTGGATTTTCTATTAATATATAAATGCAAACTTAAAATTTTTCAAGAGTAAAGGTTTTAAAATTCCGTTAATGTCCTATTGAACATATATATATAGCATCTTAATTTATATTACATGCGGAATGGAACATGTCTGAAATTAAAATAACCGATAAAGCAAGGATATCTTCGGCACATCAAATATTTTATACCCTTGTGCACATTTCAAAGAAAAGTGAAGATCGTAAATGCTAAGTTTGATGAAAATATCTATCGTTTCTATGGCAGCTATATGATTTAGTAATCCGATGTTGACAATATTTTGCATATATTCGAGGTGCATAGTCTAACTAATAAATGCAGGAACCTACTTTTGACAGATCGTTCCGATGGCATATATCTGCCAAGTTGTCCGATCTGGCTGGTTCCAACATATGTACTGCCTGGAATAGAAAGACGGATCTATGCAAAGCTTTAAAACTGAGAGACTAGTTCGCACAGAAGCAGACAGAAGTGACAGACGGACATGGCTGTTGACGCTGTCTAAAATATATATACTTTATGGGGTCGCAGAAGTCCCCTTCTATGCGTCAGACATGCCAATGGTTATACCCTTCTATTCAACTACTAAATACTAATCTGCTAAAGTTTCTTTTTAATAATTTCTTTTGCAAATTAAAAAATTTAGAAAATGTTCATAGTGTCCTACATATAATAAAAAATATATATAATTAATAATTTACAAATAGGAATCTGCAGGAATTTTATTGCTATTGCATAAGTTAACTTTAAGCAAAACCCATTTTAGGTACGTGCCCTAAATAACATGAAAATCGCTGCAAGCTCGGGGATTTCCATATAAAACAGGACCAGTGCATAAAATGAACTATAAAAAATATGAGTATGGGCATTACAGTGAGTGCCGAAAGCATACATATATTCTATTTATGATTCAAGGAAACCGACTGCAACTTTTACAATCCACAGACATAGACACACACACACACATATAGAACACACGTGAAATGTGTGTAAAAATTTCAACACGCTTACACAAAAATTGCCAATTAAGCGCATTTATGACTGCAACGCGCGAAAATATGTGTGGCATGCAACTAGGCGCTGGACTTGGGCCGAAAGCAGAGCGCATCCACAACCATCCAGCGTCCGCAGGGAGGGGGCCATAAACATTTTTAATGTGGAGACGTGTGCACTCGTCCCGGACATTGCCGCACCGGATTATTAAGAAACAATGAAGCGAGGCGTGCGAGACGCCTGCAAGTATGCAATAAAAGTGGACACATAATGCCAAGTTTATGGTGCAAGTTAAAACCAGAAACTAAATAGTTGACACCGCGCAAAATGAAGCCCAGACATTGCCGGAGGCTTAACATTCACCGACCAGTGTCAGGGCCAACGTCACGTTGCGTTGCTCTCCACCCCTGGCTTCAGCCTGACTCTATATCAGCTGAGGGTTTGGCTTTGGGTATGAGGGAGAACCCTGCGAGCTAGTGACAACCCCCATAAAGTGCACAAATGACAACATAATTTGTAATTTGAATTTGTTTCGTGTTCGAGCATAAGCAATGAGCTCGAGACTCCGGCAGACAGTAGTCATTCTGGCCACCGCTAGATGGCGCTTTGATGGCCAGGCTGACCCATCAAAAATTCAATTCGCGTTGAGATTTGCACTCTGCGGGCTTTGGTGTATTATCAAATATTCTTAGGGTTTTCTGCATATCACATTGTTCTTCCTTAAAAACTTTTACCTACTAACTCACTTTTTTTGTTTGTTTATTTTCATTTCATTTAATTTTTTTCAGATAAAAATTAATATTGCGTAAATATTGCGTGTCAAAAATGTAAAAAGCAAACTTTGGGAAATTGGATGTTAAGAGAAAGAAATGCATAAATAAAAGCACGAAAACATTTCGTTATATACATAACATTTAAAATTTAGAAAAAAATCATAACCAAAAAGCTGAACAAATGAAAATATGCATACAAAGTATTGTTGTTTATTTTAAGTTTGAACAAAGTTATGATTGTCAAATAAATACTGACAATTTACAATTGCCATAATTATGTTTTATTTAAAATTATAGTTTGCAAACAATTTTAAGCTTTCGTTATCAATAACTAATAATATCTTATACATAGACAAACGTTTGGCTACAACAAAACCAATCAAAGAACTACAAAATTTCATATTTGACCGAAATAATCCAAAATACCTATATAAGTAAAAAGAGTTTATTTAACAACAACAATTCCAAATTAACCCCGAACGTGCAACCTGTTTTCTTTTGTTACTTAACTTGTGCTAAATGGGCAAGTGAATGGCATTTCATTTCACTTAAAACGAGCGACAATCACCCACAAATTAATTTCTATATTGCAAGGCACAATGGGCAAAATTGCCTTCCAGTTGCCGGGTCCATGGTGTAAAGGAGGGCGGTTGCATTACAAATAATTAAAAAGTGGTCGGGCACAGGTCATAGTTAATTTTACGAGCTGAGGCAGCTGTTAGCCAAGGGTTAAGGCGGCACGACGACAACAACGACGACGACGACGGCGACTTAAAGAGCAGCCAGGACTATTCGGGAGCAGTTGGGACCAGTCAGGACTGAGCATACTTTGGTCTTGGCTGATTTATGCGCTTATCACGCAAGCGTCGCCGTTTTTATGGCCTGTCTCCGGCGGGAAGTTGTCTGCCTGGCGTCGTTTAGTTACCGACCATAAATGTCCTGAATGTCCTGCCGCATTGGCGACGCACACAAATTTGCCATTTTAATGCCACGACGAGCTCCACGAGCGCTTTTCAATTTTGCCATACCTGGCTACGGCTTAGCCACCACCATCCAGCTCGTCGTCCTGCGCCGTGACAGTTTTTCATTACGCACAAATCCTTCGGGCATACAGTCGCCAATGTCGTCACAGCCGCATTAAAGATTGAATGCCATTGAAATATCCCGAAATGTTTGCGGTTGACTTACAAGTTGCCAAAAATAAAGAAATTGCGCCAGCTGTTAGGTAAACCAAAAAATGGATGGAGAAATAAATGTAAAGCATTTATTGTCAAAAGAGATAGCGGAAAGTACATGGGATCAAAGCTGTATAACTATTTATATGTATAGGAATTAGACATATATTTTTAGTTTACTTGCACATTAATTTTAAAATTCGATTGTTTTTCTAAATTTAATAAGGGTCCAATTTCTTATATTTTATAATTTACAGTGCCGCCACATATCTCGTTAGCTTACACCAAAATGTATAAGGATATGATTCTGAAGCTGTATGCAATGGACTAGCTCTCAAAGGATGTCTAAAGAAGTGTCCCTGAGTCTCAAAACCAGAACAAAGCTTGTATTCAGAACTAGATTTATATATTTGAGTACGCCAATCTCTATATAAATTAAAATATTCAGTTAGAAAAAAAGGTATGATCCAACTCTTTTCAAGGTATTCAAAGACTTTTCAGTTATTTGCTTGTTAAATTTATACAAAAGAGCATGAGTCTATTGCCTACTTGGAGCTTAAGTATCTATCCTTTACCGTTTTCTTATCAAAATGTCTATTGACTTTAAGCTGAGCACACTCGTCCTTATACTTGTGCATGCATGTCCTGTGTGAGTTGCTCTTCGTTTTTTGCAATTTGGCCCTAAAAACTCTTTGAAAGTGACATTATGCAAGTTGTGAGCAACTGCAGCTATCTAAATTACCCAGAGACATCCGGCATTGGGTTGCAAAAGGACTTTGACGCCGCCGCCAACGATGCAGCACGCTTAAGGATAAACAGGATGCGCCCAAGGAAGCTACTGCTGCTGCTGCATCTGCTGCGAATGTCTTTGCCATTTTTTGACTAGCAATTTCATTGGCACTGCTGTCGCGGCGCCAGCGGAAGGAAATGTATCAAGGATGTGTGTGCATGTGCTAAGGACTAAACACAGTTAAAGCCCTCGCTTAGATAACTATGGCAAGTGCCTTGGCATGTGCATAAAAGATAAGTTAATGCAATGCCCAATGCCCAATGCCCAATGCCTGGACAGGGCCGCCAATTAATGATCAGTCGTCCTGGCGCGTCTGTCGACCGGCACGTGTTAACATTTGGCCAAGTGTTGCATACTTCAGGGCTGCGGCCAAGTGGCGCGCTGCCAATGGCAGAGAAGTCACGTAGCCTGCGTGAGTTACGGGCCCTGGCCCTGGCAGAGCATTCCACGGCAAACATGTTTGTGCACGTACATGCAAGTTGATGCCCAGACAACAGACAACAAGGACCCAACCACGCATACCACACACACACACCTATTGCCGGCAACAGTTACAGTTGGGACAGCAAAAGACACTCAACATTTACGAGCCCCGCCCAATGGAAAGAAGGAAGCAAATCCGAGCGATTCTTTAATGGTGCCTCAATTCGTTGTTCAGCAGCATCTGCACCCGCGTCACCACCGGCACAATCATGTACAGACCCAGGTGCTGCTCCAGCGCCACAGCGATCTCCTCGCGCAGTTTTTTATCCAGCTCCCGGCTAACATTACGCTTCTCGACCAGCTCAACGGTTGGCAGCTGGAGCGGATAGTTGACCGGACAGGTGAAGATCAGCTGCAGCGCAATGCCCTCAGTTTCGCCATCCTGGTAGTTGCAGGTGCTCAGCGGCACCTTGAGGCGCAGCTGCGGGCTGCGGCACAGCACCAAATATGGCAGTCCCAGGTAGTGCAGCGTTAACACCTCGTTACTCTGCAGATTCTTATTAAATCTGGCAACGCTCTCGAGTTTGTCTTTGCGCTCCGCTTCCTCGTACTCAGACATTTTGTGCTGATTTCCTTTTATTTATTTTTGAAAAATTTTGTACAATTTTTTCAATTTTCCTTTAATTTTTTTTCCCAGAACTTGTTTGAAATGTGAAGCTAGGCTAGGGAAAAACCGCTACTTCACAAGCTCAAATGCGCACCACAAAAGTAGCTAAGGATAAAACTAAGCATCTTTGTTGGAAAAATATTACGGTATACCTGCAGTTTGCATACTCTGCCCAATTTGTATACATTCGATTTTGCCAAGTAATCTATCTCATAAGCAGTTTTTATCCATACAATCCATATCAATTGTTCAAACTTCTTTAAAATATTGTTAGCAAATATCCAACATGTCTTGACCAATAAAGTCATTTTGAATGCATTTTTTTTTAGTTTATTTTGTGACTACATTTTAGACACATCTGATTGATGAAAGCACGCCAAGATAGCTGCACTTTCTTCAATCCGTGGCGTCCCCTTGGGAACGGAATTAGGCTGCTGGAGTCTTCTCAGAAACTCCCTTAGGTGGCGGAGCAAAAGCATCAGCTGAGAGCGCCACTCCAAGTACGATCAAGCAAATTAGTGAGAGCTTCATGTTAATGCTTTGAATTTGTTTTCCAACTGTGAAGGATTCCCAGCGAAGCTCAGCTTTTATAGCTGATATTCCAAAGTGTGACCAATGGAATTGGCAGAACATATTTAATATTCAACCATGCAGTTGTTTCCTACTTTAGATTATTCGGCATGCCGTTATTACGTTTGTTAATAATGTCATCTAGTAATAATTCTGATTTGCATGCTACAAATCCACATCAATTGCATAATGCGTTGATGTGTAATCTTTGCCCAAATCCAGCCCTGCGCTGCCGTATCCGTATTCAGATAATTCAGAAATGTCGTTTATTAAGACTTTTACCTATGTTCAGCTAGGGCATACGAATTAAAATAGTGTGTGTTGATTGGAAATCAAAACAAGTCTCATTAGCCTTGTGTGACCGTTTTCATAATAGAAAAATTTGTATTTTAGCCTGGTAACACTTTAAGTTATTCACAAGTGTTTTAGAAAACTATGCTTAAAGTCATGACGAGTTTTCAATGGGATTTAGCTTAAGATTAATATGATATCTTTAAATTGTATTTGCAAGTCAAGGCACAGGCAGGATAAAGTCAACAGGACTTCAGCTCAAGGGCAAACCAGATATATTTCTAAATTGGTTGATTTGATTTTGTGTCCGGCTTTCATTTCACTCGCTATGCCAATTAGCTTTGTAATTATCGCGAAAATTTGCAAACTCGAGAGCATTTGTATTTGTGCATTTAACTCTCATGAATTATAATTGTCAAACAATCACAAGTTTAATACCCTTTGGAATCTGTCTTCATACTTAGATTATACCGTTAGTAATTTTCATTTTCAATTGAATCCTTTCCTATTTTAAATAATAATTGTGTTAATTGACAATCAAATGTATTTATTAAGATAGGCGAAATCCCAATATAAATTAAAATATTCAGTTAAAAATGGGATGATCCACGAAATATGGCAGTCCCAAGTAGTGCAGCGTTAACACCTCGTTACTCTGCAGATTCTTCCTAAATCTGGCAACGCTCTCGTGTTTGTCTTTGCGCTCCGCTTCCTCGCACTCAGAAATGTTGTGCTGATTTCCTTTCATTTATTTTTGAAAAATTTGGTACATTTTTTTTTGTTTTCTTTTAGTTGTTTTTTGCCCGTAACTTGTTTGAAATGTGAAGCAAGGATAGGGAAAACCCGCTAACAGGCAGAAAGTAGTTCACAAGCTCAAATTTGCACCAAAAAAAAGTAGCTAAGCATAAAACTTACCAACTTTGTTGAACTTTGTTGGAAAAAAAATATAGTGTATCTGTAGTTTGCATACTCTGCCCAATTTGTATACATTCGATTTTGCTAAGTAATCTATCTCATAAGCAGTTTTTATCCATACAATCCATGTCGGCTCTTCAAAATTCTTCAAAATCTTCTAAACAAATATTTTGTTTTGAGCAAATTTTATATCAATGGGGCAGGCCTTGACCAATAAAGACATTTTGAATGCATATTTTTTTTTTTAATTTATTTTGTGACTACATTTTAGAAACATCCGATTGATGAAAGCACGCCAAGATAGCTGCACTTTCTTCAATCCGTGGCGTCCCTTTGGGAACGGAATTAGGCTGCTGGAGTCTTCTCAGAAACTCCCTTAGGTGGCGGAGCAAAAGCATCAGCTGAGAGTGCAACTCCAAGTACGATCAAGCAAATTAGTGAGAGCTTCATGTTAATGCTTTGAATTTGTTTTCCAACTGTGAAGGATTCCCAGCGAAGCTCAGCTTTTATAGCTGATATTCCAAAGTGTGACCAATGGAATTGGCTGAACATATTTAATATTCAACCATGCAGTTGTTTCCTACTTTAGATTATTCGTCATGCCGTTTGATTTTTACGTTTGTTAATAATGTCAACTGGCAATAATTCTGATTTGCATGCTACAAATCCTCATCAATTGCATAATTGAACCAAAACAAGTCTCATTAGCCTTATGTGACCGTTTTCACAATACAAAAATTTGTATTTTAGCCTGGTAATATTTTTAATGTTACCAGTGTTTTACAACACTATGCTTAAAGTCATGACGAATTTTCAATTGGATTTAGCTTAAGATTAATATAATTTCTTAAAATTGTATTTGCAAGTCAAGGCACAGGCAGGATAAAGTCAACAGGACTTCAGCTCAAGGGCAGACCAAATATATTTCTATATACTTATATCAGGTCTGGTTGATTTGATTAGCGTAGATTTTGTGTCCCGCTCTCATTTCACTCGTTATGCAAATTAGCTGTGCGATTTTCGCGAAAATTTGCAAACTCGAGAGCATTTGTATTTCTGGATTTAATTCTTATGAATTATAATTGTCAAACAATCACAAGTTTAATAACCTTTGGAATATGTCTTCATATATAGATTATAACGTAAGTAATTTTCATTTTCAATTCAATCCTTTCCGATTTTAAATAATAATTTGTGTTAAAGCTTAAAATCTAAGACCCTACAACTTGGTTAATTTTTTCAATTATAATCATTGACAATAAAATGTATTTATTAAGATAGGCCAATCCCAACATAATTTAAAATATTCAGCTAAAACAAAGAGGTATGATCCATAAAATATGGCAGTCACAGGTAGTGCAGCATTAACAACTCGTTACTCTGCAGATTCTTCTTAAATCTGGCAACCCCTCGAGTTTGTCTGTGCATTCCGCAAGTAATATATCTGATAAGCAGTTTTTATCGATACAATCGATATCGAATGTTCAAACTTCTTTAAAATATTGTTAGGAAATATACAAAGGTGGACCAATAAAGACATTTTGAGTGAATTTTTTTTTTAAATTTATTTTGTGACCACATTTAAGACACATCTGAATGATGAAAGCACGCCAAAATAGTTGAACTTTCTTTAATCCGTGGCGCCCCTTTGGGAACGGAATTAGGCTGGTGGAGTCTTGTCAGTGGCTCCCTTAGCTGGCGGGGCAAAAGCATCAGCTGTGAGCGCCACTCCAAGTACGATCAAGCAGATTAGTGAGAGCTTCATGTTTATGCTTTGAATTTGTTTTCCAACTGTAAAGGATTCCCTGCGAAGCTCAGCTTTTATAGCTGATATTCGAAAGTGTGGTCAATAGAATTGGCAAATCATATTTAATATTCAACCATGCAGTTGTTTCCTACTTTAGATTATTCGTCATGCCCTTGGATTCTTACGTTTGTTAATAAATCCACATCAATTGCATAAGTGACATCAACCGCTGCATTGATGTGTAATCTTTGCAAAATTTGGCTCTACGCTGCCGTATCCGTATTAAGATAATTCAGAAATGTCGTTTTTTAAGAATTTTACCTATTTTCAGCTAAGGCATACCAATTGAACCAAGACTAGTCTCATTAGCCTTGTGTGACCGTTTTTACCATTACAAAAATTTGTATTTTAGCCTGGTAACACTTTTAGTTATTCACAAGTGTTTTACAACACTATGCTTAAAGTCATGACGGGTTTTTAATGGGATTTAGCTTAAGATTAATATAATTTCTTAAAATTGTATTTGCAAGTCAAGGCACAGGCAGGATAAAGTCAACAGGACTTTAGCTCAAGGGCAAACCAAATATATTTCCAAATATATCTGGTCTGGTTGATTTTATTTTGTGTCCGGCTTTCATTTCACTCGCTATGCAAATTAGCTTTGTAATTATCGCGAAAATTTGCCAACTCGAGAGCATTTGTTTTTGTGGATTTAATTCTTATGAATTATAATAGTCAAAAAATCACAAGTTTAATACCCTTTGGAATCTGTCTTCATACTTAGATTATACCGTTAGTAATTTTCATTTTCAATAGAATCCTTTCCGATTTTAAATAATAATTGTGTTAATTGACAATCAAATGTATTTATTAAGATAGGCGAAATCCCAATAAAAATTAAAATATTCAGCTGAAAACAAGTAAGAGGTTCTAGTCGGGAGCTCCCGACTAGGGGATACCCTGAACCCCCTTCTTCTAACGGGCGATAGGTATAAAATGAAAGATACTTGATATATATATTTTTCTAAAAGCAACATACCAAGTTTGGTGACTCTTGTATTATTTACCGAAATTGCTAAAAAAAAAAAACAGTATATCAATATCGATTTTTATCGATTACTCGGAAACGGGCAAGTTATCGAATATCGGAAACAAACTCGATCTGCGCGGGGACTAGGAGTACCTACATTTCAAGTCTCTATCTCTTATAGGCTCTGAGATCCTTGCGTTCATACATACGGAGAGACGGACGGAAAGACGGACATTGCTAGATCGACTCGGCTATTAATGCTGATCAAGAATATATATACTTTATGGGGTCGGAGATGCTTCCTTCTGCCTGTTACAAGGTAGTGCAGCCTTAACACCTCGTTACTCTGCAGATTCTTATTAAATCTGGTAACGCTCTCGAGTTTGTCTTTGCGGTCCGCTTCCTCGCACTCAGAAATTTTGTGCTGATTTCCTTTAATTTATTTTTGAAAAATGTAAAATTCTTTTTGTTTTCTTTTAGGTTTTTTTTTGGCCGAAACTTGTTTGAAATGTGAAGCAAGGCTAGGGAAAACCCGCTAACAGGCAGAAAATAGTTCACAAGCTCAAATTTGCACTAAAAAAGTAGCTAAGGATAAAACTTAGCATCTTTGTTGGAAAAATATTACGGTATATCTGCAGCTTGCATACTATGCCCAATTTGTATACATTCCATTTTGCCAAGTAATCCATCTCATAAGCAGTTTTTATCGATACAATCCATATCGATTGTTCAAACTTTTAAAATATTGTTAGCAAATATCCAACAGGTCTTGACCAATAAAAACATTTTGAATGCATTTTTTTTTTTTAATTTATTTTGTGACTACATTTTAGAAACATCTGATTGATGAAAGCACGCCAAGATAGCTGTACTTTCTTCAATCTGTGGCGTCCCCTTGGAAACGGAATTAGGCTGCTGGAGTCTTCTCAGAAACTCCCTTAGGTGGCGGAGCAAAAGCATCAGCTGAGAGCGCCACTCCAAGTACGATCAAGCAAATTAGTGAGAGCTTCATGTTAATGCTTTGAATTTGTTTTCCAACTGTGAAGGATTCCCTGCGAAGCTCAGCTTTTATAGCTGATTATCCAAAGTGTGACCAATGGAATTGACAAAACATATTTAATATTCAACCATGCAGTTGTTTCCTACTTTAGATTATTCGGCATGCCGTTATTACGTTTGTTAATAATGTCATCTAGTAATAATTCTGATTTGCATGCTACAAATCCACATCAATTGCATAAGTGAAATCCACTGCTGCATTGATGTGTAATCTTTGCCTAAATCCAGCTCTGCGCTGACGTATCCGTATTCATATAATTCAGAAGAAATGTACCAAAACAAGTCTCATTAGCCTTGCGTAACCATTTTCACAATGCAAAAATTTATATTTTAGCCTGGTAACACTTTTAGTTATTCACCAGTGTTTTACAACACTATGCTTAAAGTCATGACCAGTTTTCAATAGAATTTAGCTTAAGATTAATATAGTTTCTTAAAATTGTATTTGCAAGTCAAGGCACAGGCAGGATAAAGGCAACAGGACTTCAGCTCAAGGGCAAACCAAATATATTTCTATATACATATGTATATCTGGTCTGGTTGATTTGATTATCGTAGATTTTGTGTCCCGCTTTCATTTCACTCGCTATGCAAATTAGCTGTGTGATTATCGCGAAAATTGGCAAACTCGAGAGCAAGAAACACCACACCGCAACCTTCAATTCCCACAGCCGCTGCCATCCTCAATGGCCCAACCACTTTCTAGTTTTTGTTGTGGTGCGGCTCAGACGTGCGTGAGCTGCCCCGTGTTAGATCTTTGGCACGCATATGAGCTACATTCGTATTAGTGGTAAAATTTGCATTTTAAAGCAGTTTGCGCCACGTGAGACGCTTGTGTGTGCCCCGTGCATCGCGCGTCTCAATTTTCACTTTGATTTCACGCACTAACGCGCCAGCAACTAATGAGACACAGAGACACATAGAGAGAGAGAGAGAAAGAGAAAGAGAGAGAGAGAGAGAGAATTGTAAACAGAAAACATTGCAGAAAAATTGCAAAATTGCAGCCGCATTCAGTTATGAGTTGCAAAGATTCATCTTCATTCATGCGGGCTGTCAATCAAATTTCAATCAACTCTTTGGCTCTCAAGCTGCCCTCAATCTTGATTATTATGAGTGCCTGTCGAAGGGCGGGGCAGCGGGCAGGGGCCACATTTGACACATTGCGCATACGTCACATGGGCGCAGGCTTCAAACTCACTCAAACATGTTGCGTTGCCGTTGCCCCTACAACTCCAACAACGAACTGCGAGGGGTGCTGGGTGGTGGTTGGGTGGTTGGGGTTGGGTGGTTTTTCAGTTGGAGTTGGCGTTGGCGCTGGCGTTGGCTGTCGCTCACTTCCGCTTGGAGCCGAGAGTTTTTCGTTGCCGTTCTCGGCTTTTGGTTTTGCTGTCGGCCTGACGTTTGCCGCCTGTTGGTTGGCTGGGCTTCGTGGCACGTGGGGCACCTACCCCTGCCGGCAACGCCCCGGAACGTGACCAAAATGAATTGTAGGCGTGCACCATGTTAGTCGGCGGAAGCGTGCCAAGAAATCCGCATTGCTGCAGTAGCTGCCGCTCCTGCTGCTGCTGCAGTTCACCCAGCGGCCCAGCTGCAGCTGCCTTTAAGATGAAATTCGTCAATTTCAGTCGTTTTGTCTATTGACATTTGCCTGTTCGGATTTGGCATTCTGATTGGCCGTCGCTTAGGGACAACCTGGGTGCAGAATGCGAGGGGCCGCCACGTTTCCTGGCTGGGTTGGCACTTCAAAGCCATTTCTGGCTTTGTTTTAAGAGCTTCTGTCGTGCCACAAAAGTTTGAAGCACTTGTTTACGATTTCAAGTGCATTTGTTGGACCCGTCATAATTTCGAGACTGCAATTGCTTCGATTTGCTCCTACCGCTCACTGCGGCAGCCAAAAGTTTTCCACTCAAGTCCCTGACGCAAATCTCAGCTGTTAAGTTCTTCACTTTGGTTATGCTAATGAGGCAAGTTTTGTTCTTGTTCGCACAGGTCCAATGCGCAAAAACGATTCAAAAATTATCAGCTTCTGGTTGGAGCAGGGTCTTCTTGTACAACAAGTCCTTGAGTACACTTGAACAATATGGCTTGGGTACAAAATTTCAGCTTCTTTACATTTCAGGTAATTCTAAATAAAAGTAGCCTATATCCTTATAGAAAAAAGAGCATATGAATGAGACTATATATTTTATTAACCATATGATATCCGCTTGTAAAAATTAAAAAATAATAATAAACTTTAATGAATGAACAACAATTTGAACGCGAGAATACTCAAACATGAGATATAGGATCTACTGCCAGCTCCTATTTAAAGGAAAACGAAAATGTATCCCTAGTTAATAATTATGCGCAATTAAAAAGGAAAGTTTAACTATTCTTCTATTGTCAATAGTTGTTTACTTGTTCTTCGGTCTATGCACTCCGATATATTTTTAATAAGTCGTTATACATGCCATATGCGAAACATTTCCGAAATAACCAAAACCTACCTATGTATGTACTTCATTACATAGGCACACCTATTGGTAAAAGCCTCAGCCATGTTCAACAAGCAAATCATATTTTCACCCATATCTCGATAAGATATTATTTTCCACACACCATGTTATAAAAGCCGGAGCACACAGCCAAAGTTCTATGAATCAGTTGGACGACGTTGGAAACGTTTACCCAGCATGAAATACGCGACTCTATTACTGATCGGGCTGCTGCTGGCCACAGCTCTGCTCAGCGAGGCCCAGAAGCAGGCTGGCAAGACGAAGAACAAGTCCAAGTCGAAGAACAAGGTGAAGACAACCGTACCCCCACAGCTGGAAAGGCAGGCGCTTTTGAAGGCTGAGCCCTGCTCGGCGGCCAAGTGCAAATTGCCCGAATGCCGTTGTTCGGATGCGATATTGCCTAGACCTAAATTCAAGGGCAAGGAACATGAGATACCACAGGTAAGTTTATATATCTTACAAATTACTATTTTGGCTTTAGCCGGATATAAGCTAGGCTCAAAATACTAAAAACGTAAAGTATTATAATTGTCATTACTAGAATTTTTTATAATAATAATTATTTTTTATAATTAATATAAGACAATTATAATCTGAGGTATTATTTCCAGTGGTGTACCCAAAAGTTGGCTAAAAGTAAATCTCTTTTTTTGAAGTAGTTTCTATTCTTTTGTCATAAATATATTTTTTACTTTGTTCATACTTTTTTATTTATTAATTTGTTTAGTTTATGAGATCCATACAATGATGTGCAACAAATAAATATTTTTGTATTTATTTAATTTACACTTTCTTCATATTACTGGAACTTTCGAACTTTCAGTTCGTTACAATCACCTTTGATGACGGCGTGAACGCCGTGAACTATGCCCAATATGAGCTGCTCTTTGATGGTCTGAGAAATCCCGATGGCTGCGCGGCAACGGGCACCTTCTTCCTATCGCACGAGTACACGGATTACGTGCGAGTGAATGCATTGTACAATGCGGGTCACGAGATTGCCCTGCACTCGGTGACCCATGGCGACGGCACCGATTATTGGCGCGAAGCGGATGTTGAGACTATTGAACGTGAGTTCGGAGCCCAGCTGCAGATGCTGGAGACGTTTGCCAAGGTGAATGCGAAGCGTGTACAGGGCATCCGGCTGCCCTTCCTGCAGATCTCCGGCAACAACTCCTTTGAGGCAGTCAAGAATCTGGGTCTGACCTATGACAGCTCCTGGCCGACGCAACAGCACAAGGAACCGGCTATGTGGCCCTACACCTTGGACTACCTGTCCATACAGGACTGTCAGATTGGACCATGTCCGGATGCTGCGCTGCCCGGCGTTTGGGTGAATCCCATGGTTACATGGACGGACACTGAGGGCTACAGCTGCTCCATGATCGATGCCTGCGCCTATCCGCCCGCTGACGATGTGGATGCATTGTTCGAGTGGATGCTGGAGAACTTTAATCGCCACTACAAGGGCAACCGGGCGCCATTCGGCATGTATCTGCATGCAGCTTGGTTTGCACGGGGCCGCAACTACTTTGCTGCCTTCAAGAAGTACGTGAAGAGGCACAATCGAGCCGCATTTCTTAGTTTGTATTTAATCAAATTCTACACAGATTCATGCATCATTTGTCAACCTATCCGGACGTGTACATGACGGGCGTATCGCGCATGTTGGAGTATGTGAAAAAGCCGGTGCTGGGTCAGCCCTTCAAGAGCTGCGAGAAGAAGCCCAACACCAGTTGCCAGCCGGTGCACTGCAATGTCCAGAAGTTGTCAACGGGCGAGACGCGCTACATGAGCGTCTGCGATAAGTGCCCAATTGTCTATCCCTGGTTGGACAATCCATTGGGCCAGGATATGTAAATGTTGCACACCCAATAAACACAGCACGATATAATGAAGCTACCATGTTTTGTCTGGCCGCTGCCATTTGGCCATTTGGCCATTTGCCCCTTGTTACTCCCATGATCTAAGCCAATTTACATTTGCCGGCCGTGTCCTTAGTCCGAAAACGTCACTGATAAATGTCTTGAAATTATGCTCCCGGCCGTGAGGCGCTTAATTAACTCATTCAGCGCAGCGTTCTCCAACTCCAAAGCAACCCCTTTACCCCGTCACCCAGCCACGTACACGTCGAGACTTTGTCAATTTCGCTGGTGCCGGGCCTAAAGTGTGTAGCCATATTTTATGGCATGAATTAATACGCCACACACAACCCGCCCAGCGGGCCAAGTGGTGCCTCGGCTGCTGTCAATGCAGCTGCTACCTGTAAATGACGGGGACGTGGACAAGGCGCCTGCACGTATCGGCACGTTGCTTGGACATGTGTCCGCCTGGGCGGCCGTCGCGATGGCTGCATTTTTGGTTAATGGGCTTCTAACTAATGGCAGGCACTGTCTGCATATCACTCGAATGGGGCTTGTGGCATGGTTGGGCGATTGTGGTCAAAAATTATCTATGCCCAGATCCAACATAAATTAAGGCATCAACTCTGCTTCATGTGGCTAGAACAGTGGGTTATATCGATGATTATACATATGTATATTGAAAATCGGATTTTAGGAATATGCCAGTTATCTTATTCTCACTCCAAATAAGACTCACAAAATTTCAAAAAAAAAAGCCAGGGAAAAAGTAACTTAGCTGAAATCTTAAAAATGTAATTCTCTTTTAGCAATTTGAAAGGGAAGCTAATGCAATTTGTTTGAAAAAGATCGAAGAATAAATATGTAAAAGGTAAAAAGGACAAAGACTTAAATGCTTTTATATTTTAATTAACTATATTCAAATAGTTAATCAAATCCAGTTTTAGATTGAATTAGCTTCATGTAATCGCTTTATGCTCAGAAGAACATATCGTATAAAAATATGTTGTTCCGACTCTAGTTATTCCAATTGGATTTTGCGTATTAAACCTCGCCAAGATTCCGCATTAATAGAGTCTTAAACATTTTTAGATTAAGTATTTTGTATAACAATAACAATTTTATTTTTCAACATAATTCAATGAATATTATATATTAATATTTAAATCCCATTTTATTCTTCTGCATAGTTGCGGCATCTCTCACGCGCTTGTGACAATGTTTATTGGCCAGTATATAGCCCTGTGGGCAGCTGGCTTCCAGTATATTGTAGGGCTTCACCAGGACAGTGTCGTTGGGGCTCCACTTTGGTGATTCCAGCACGTGCATACGGCTGGTTGCACTCAAACTGGGACTTGTGGTTTCAGCATCAACAATTTCACTATCCGAGGCGGCAAAGTGTTGGTTAAATGTCAGCAATAAAAACAAGTATATGACACCACAAAAAAATCCTTGCAACATTTTAGCATCCACTTTAATATTTCTTGAAGTCTAGCAAACTTTTCTGGCAACTGTTCAAACTAAACTGAGTCTATGTCAATGGAATATTTTACTTTTTACCAAATTTTTGTCCCGTAATGTTGGCCAATTCGAAAGCAGTTGCGGCCTTTTAAGGCACACAGCTAAGAGCTCTTCAGACAATGAATAATTGTGGCCGTTCAAGGTTATTTTGCTTCAAAGTAGATCAAAGACAAACTCAGTCGCACTTGTGCACTTCTTGAGATATTCAAATTAGAGCCGTTCAAATGAAGTACAAAAATTTTATGTAAAAACACTGTACAAAATGATATGTGCAACATATATTATGGACTTGAATTAATGCTCTGATATAAAAAGATCAATTGTTGTGAAGTAAAACAAATTTGTACTCAAGCTATCGAAATATAATCAAAATTGAAAACCAAATCATAAATATTTATAAATATTTTAGCCATCAGCTTACCTAAGAAATTATACTTAAGAAATAATTGATAGAAATATAAATAATATCACGTCCAACTTTTGTAGCCCTGTACATGACATGGACACAATCAGTGCCAAATGCAAAGCAGCGAAATTAAACTTTGCTTTTATGAAAATGAAGAAAAACCCGCAACAAATGCTACCGGAAATGCCAAGAAAACAACAAATATTTACAGATTACTTTGGCAGAATGCCGCTGATTAACAAACGCATCCATTGTCCGCAACCAGAGACAGAGACAAAAGGCGCCAACCCCTTCCTCTCAGCAGCAACCACCCTGCGAAACTGCTGCAATCACCTGCTAAAACGTAGCTCATTTTCTCATAAAATATGCTTTCTATTGACTTTCCCAATTTATTTTGCACACACATCCACGCATACATATACATATTTTGCATACATTTTGCAAGTCTCTTTTTGTTTTGTTTTGGAGGTTGTCATAAATAAATGACTATACGACATGAAGTCGGGCAGAGCCTCCCTTAGCTGGCGTCTTGCATCAGCTGTCGGAGTGCCAAACACGCATTATTTTAATGTATTTTTATAAACTGGCTAAAATGGGCGCGGCCAAAAAGGTTTTCTCAGCATTTAACCCGGGGTTGTCAGGCCTTCAAAAATGATTCCATTTAAAATGACATTTTTATGCTCCGCATATTTTTTTTTGCCTCTCCGCGAAAATTATCTTGCTGCTACTTATGAGGCTGCGATGTTTGTGTTGGGAACCGAGGGTGGCTAGCTCTCACTTGGGTGCAGGGGACTGACAATAGAATTGTCAAAATTATTAGCCTAAATGGCTGACATTTATTAAGAGTGGCTCAGGTTACTCCATAAAAAATGCACTAAAAGGGACGTCCCAACTTGGGACTATGGCTGAACATTAAATAGAGAAATTGCGGAAAATTGCGCGAGTGCTTAGGTATCTATGTGGATAAATGATAGTTTCTATGAATATTACACAACATTCTTTCATTTTCAGCTGATTATTTGGCATTACTAATTAATAAATCAAATTAAAACTATAACGAAACATTTGGTAGATTGACAAAACACAGGCGAATCATTATATAACCATTTCAAATTAAATTAGAAACACGCCAGAATATCAGCTATAAAAGCGAAACCCCGCTAGAAATCCTACATAGTTGAACAGGAACTAAAGGTGAAATATGAAGACTACACTGATTTTCTTGATCGTGCTTGGAGTGGCGGCCACAGCATATGCTGCGGCTGCTGGTCAACCAGCATATGCGAATGCCTATGATCCAGCACCAGAATATGCCTACGATCCAGCACCACCTACAAAAGATCCACTGGTAGCTGCTGCAAATGATCCAGCACCAACTGCATATGATCCAGCACCACAATATGCCAACGATCCAGCACCACCTACAAAAGATCCAGTGGTAGCTGTTGCAAAAGATCCAGCACCACCTGCATATGATCCAGCGCAGGTATATGCCTACGATCCAGCACCACCTACAAAAGAGCCATTGGTAGCTGCTGCAAAAGATCCAGCACCACCTGCATATGATCCAGCGCAACAATATGCCAACGATCCAGCACCACCGTCAACAGCTCCAGTGGTAGCTGCTGCAAAAGATCCAGCACCATCTGCATATGATCCAGCGCCACAATATGCCTACGATCCAGCACCACCGTCAACAGCTCCAGTGGTAGCTGCTGCAAAAGATCCAGCACCACCTGCATATGATCCAGCGCCACAATATGCCTACGATCCAGCACCACCTGCAAAAGAACCGGTCGTAGCTCCTGCAAAAGATCCAGCACCACAAACTGCAAATGAGCCAGTTGCTTAGGATCAACCTAGCTCCTTCTGAAATGTTCTCAGCAGATAACTTTGCTGTGAGAAGGCCGTGTCTGATTGTGAAAAGTACAGCCATCTAAGCGTATTCCCGTAGTCACCTCGGATTCTGTCAAATATAGTTTACCAAAAAAAAAAAATGTAACCTTTAACTAATATACCTGCATCAACGGTACTTGTTGATGGGTTATGCCTCAACTTTAATGCCGTTTTGCTACACACTTTATTTGGGGACATGGGACTATGTATAGCAAAAAACAAAACACACTTTTTATATATAGAGTGTATTGTTCGTAAAATTTTGCTATTATTCTGCAAATGGGTACCCAATATTAATGGTTGCCATCAGTTTCATAATGACAGTATACACGCCAAAAAAGTAGATATAAAGGCTTTTAGGCTTCAATTGGTATCGCTTATGTAATAGCTGAGTAATCAGTGCATCACTAATTCAATCAATTGCGAACACAAAATAGTTAAAAGAATCACTGAAAACACTGGAATATTAACCATAAAAGCAGAAAGTTTCTTGAATACCAACATACTCTCACAGGAACTATTTACAGCGACTGAATAAATCATGCCTGTATTTCACAATCCTCGGTATCAGGTAACTGCACGAGCCAAGCCCAACTCTCTTAAGACGTATCCCGAGAAAGCTAATAACTGTTGCTCTGAGGCCCGAATCTAATCTGGCAGGACCCAGCTATAATATGGGAGGATTGGGGAAAGAACAGCCATCTAAGCGTACTCCCACAGATATCTAGGCTTCTGTCAATTGTGGTTATTCAAAATATATGTGACTACTGATAAATCAAGATAATTTAATGAAATCCCATATTCAATTGCTATCTATTATCTATCTATTATTTTAAACTATTTTCGTACTTAAAACAGAGTATCATCCACTTCGAGTTTCTACATTTGGAATAATAACTGAATATTAAACTAGATTCGCATTTAAAGAGAGTAAAAAATATCATCTCAATCCTTCAAAATTGCATTATAGACTGAATTTTATGAGGAATTGCTTTGATTCTTACCATATACAAATAATTGAGTCCAATTTTTTAAGACCTGCGGGCATGCATATTAAAATTGGAATATGGATACGAATATGCCTCCCATAGTCGACAGGCCGACTTGCCAAGCTAGCGAAAAATATAATAAAAATTAACATAAAGTGATATATCATAAAGCTTACATCACTTATAATTACAAATTTTAACTGGTTGGGAATGTCGACTTTCGACAACATCTTACTTAACTTAACTTGTCTCTTTCGAATAAAGTGCACTTGTTTTAAATTTATCTTATAAAATAAAGATGTTTAGAATGCAAATTCTGAAACTGTTGAAATTGATTTGTTACAACTATGCCTTGTCCTACTTTGCCTTAATTATAATATAATTTTATGAAAAATGACAATGACTCGCTATAGTAGGAAGTGAAAAATAATCGTTTCATCCAATATTATTTTAAACAACGTCTATAAGAGTACATACACTTCGATTATTCGCCACAATTCTATATTTCAATTCATAAAATTATATAAAACCATTTTCTTAAAATTTATCCTGATGTCAATTAGATGGTGTTATTATTATTGTTGTTGTTATGATTATTATAATTATTTTTGTTGTTTTTATTATAATTATTATTATTATTATTACTATCATTATTATTATTATTATTATTATTATTATTATTATTATTATTATTATTATTATTATTATTATTATTATTATTATTATTACTGTTATTATTGTTTTTATTATTACTATTATTATAATCATTATTAGTGTCATTATCATTAATATTGTTATTTAGTTACTCTCGACTCGACTCGAGCCCGCATACCATTGATTCCGTCGCCTTTACGACTCCGTCAATTATCTACGAAGCTCCATAATAATGCCAATATATGTTATATTATAAAAGTCATATTTATTGTACAATTTTTGTTGATCTTTCGAATACTTATGTTCTATGGCCTTTATAATGTTAATGCCAAACCTGACTAATTGAAATGAATTAATATCAATTCATATGACGCGTGCAGTTTTCAGATTCTCAAGCAAGTGAGACAATCGGCGGGCACTCTCATTATGAATGCAATTATACAAGTTTGTGTTTCATGTATTTCCTTATCGCCGGAGACAGCTGACAAAATAACTGGCGACTATCGAATGTGCAACTGGGCAGCTCCGGACTTGTCTTGAAGTCTTGAAGCTCTCTCTCTCTCAGTTGTCAGTCTTGAATGCGAATTCGGGTAGAGTAAACGTGTTTTAACGTAATGGCAATTAAATTGATGCCCGTATTACCCTTGGTAGTGTACATATTGCTGCTGTTGCTGCACATCTCGTTGCCACACAAGCTGCACGATATTTACACTTCCTATCCATCAGATGCCCAACAGTTAACAATGGATAGGCGCGATCAGAGCGAGAAAATCATTCCAGCGGAAGGCTCTGTATCACTAAGGAATGAGACAAGTCAAAAGCCAATAAGTGAGAGATCGAGTGAGCGACCACTTGAGAAGCCCACAAATGAGATTGAAGAGATTCCCACTGCACAGACCGAAATTAACGAGATAGAAGAAACAACTGTACAGACCAAGGAGAAGATGAAAGAGCGCCCAGAAGCAGACGAACTCGCTAAAAAAGATCCAAAGATTGTTGAAATTGGACCACGCATCACGCTCGACACGCTGCCCGTTTGCGGGGATGGCTTTAAACTATTTGGAGCTCATTGTCGCAAGGAGGCTTAAAAAAGCCGTTAATAAAAAAAAATAGAACGCATGCGACAAGCTCGACTTTTGATGGGAAGTTCAATTTTTGGGCTGTACGTAAACAAATAAAGCGCACTGTAGAGCTTTAACAACTAGACTCTTGTTTACACTTCAATGAGTAACACGGGCCGCTTAAAAAAGAGCTTTCGCTTCCATTTTCCAGTTTGGAATAGTGAAGCGAGCCAGCTTCGTTTTTTATTCTGCTGTTTTTTTTTAAGTATCTTTGTTGTTGTTTTTTCTCTCTGTATTGTTTTGTTTGCTATACAAGCTAATGACAATCGATTCTTATCGCAAGTGTCTGTCTGTGCGGCCTTTTTTATTTCTCCCACAGTCTTTCTGGGGATCTTCATCAACGTTTCGTGTGTCAGTCTCGAAAGCTCCGTGGAAGCGGCCAAACGCGTTTTTTTCTTCTTCTTACGATCGCTCTCCCAGCGGCCACAGCCGATAAACAATTAAACAATGCACTTGAAAGCCGTTCACACACTACTCTTGGCCATTGTGGCCTGGCAGATCTGCGGCATGGAGCTGCGTCTGTGCGACGATCGCATAGTGTTCCCTGATGAAAACAACGACCCAACATTCTATAACCTGACCAGCAGCAACATTAGCAACATTAACAGCAGCAGCAACAACAGCAAGAGCGCCAACATTAGCTACAACAACAGCAGCAACATCAGCAGCAGCAGCAACATTAATTTGAGCAACACCAGCATCAGCAACAGCAACACTAGCAGCAACAGCAGCAACATTAATTTAAGCGACACCAACCTCAGCAGCAGCAACATCACCAGCACGACGGAGTCACCCTTGGGCAACGGCACTTTGGAGGAGCTGCATCTGCCGAACAGCAGCACAAGCACTACGGAGCTGCCCACGCTTGACAATCGCATTCTGGTGGACACTTTGCCAGTGTGTCCACCAGGCCAGAGTCTGCGAGCGGGACGTTGTCGCCAATCTGCATGAAAATAATAAAAGACTAAAAAAAATCAAAAATAATAATTTACATGCATATGTATATAAAGTGTTATAGTGAGTGTGTGTATGAGAGTTTAATTGCTTCGTATCTGTTGTTTTCAGATTTAGTTTTTTAATTACCAAAACAAAGGCTGTCTTCCCAATCAGACCGACTCTTTAATATACTTACTTTTAAGATAGTTTCCGTATACCTTGACGAGCAGCTGATTGAGTATTACATATTTTTGGTTTTAAACCAATATTTGAGTTAAATGTTTGATGTTAATTCTGAAACTATGTACATGTAAATAAAAAATTTATTTCGCTTCTTAAAAGCAAAAATATCCATTAAAAGGTGCAGGCATACCCATAAGTATTACCATAGATTAATATATTTAAAATATTTCGTTCAGTTCATAAATGTTTTAAAAAATTTATAATTAGATATTAAATTTGATTATAATCAAAAAACAGTTGACTTCTACTATTGTAAAACTGAAACAAATAGAAATACTGCAAGTTATCTAGATAACTCATCTACCATAATTGACAATGATATCATTTTTACAACGTGCTGTTGACCAAGTTGAAATGGCCACAGCAAGAGTATGAGAAAAAAATCCCCGCAAATGGTACTGTAATAATTATCTTTTCCGAGCAACAGTCATTTTTGCAAACAAAATTTAAGAGTTTCGGTCAGAGAAAATAGCAAAATGTCTCTATGAAACAAGTTTTGTGAAAGCCGAGCACAAACAAAGTCTCACACATGAAATTAAAATAGTTTGCGAGTCATCAGTCAATATATTACACAATTACACGGTCCTGTGCATTTTTTCACTAACTTGTATTATTTGTAGATAGAAAAACAATTGTATCCGTAGCTCATTCATGTAAACTTGTCATCAATACTATTTATGCGCTCTTATTAATAAGAAGCCAATTCTCTAATTCGTATAAGAGCTGTTCCAACGGGCTTATCACGTCAGATTGAAGCTCAATTGAAAACAATATTCTAAGTACTTATTCAAAATCTCTACGAGATGGTCTCAGTCTTAATTTAGCACGCGACAGCGCCAGAAGCTCGACTGCAACTTGGACGTAGAGATGATTCCTAAGCTCGGACTCTTATCGCTGGGGCTGTTGCTGATAGCCCTGCTTAATGCGCAGCTAATGCAGGCCCAGCCAGAACATCGATTATATGGGGATCAGTCGCATAATGGTGAAGGCTGGGGCTATTCACAGCCTCAGAGGTGCGTTATCCAACTGAAATAGTTATAATTTCACTGCTTTAACTAATTGTGCATCCAATTAGACCTCATGGGCAACACGAGCACAGGCACCATCATGGCCATGGACATGGGCACGGACATGGCCACAATCAGTACTACGATCGATATCCAGCCAGCTACCCAGGTGCTGCGCAGTTCGAACCCGGTCAGGGTCCCAGCTTTGGTAGAGGCTCGTATGGAGGAGGACAGCCCAGAGGTGGATATGCAGGACAGCCAGGCGCAGGGTTTGGGAACCCGCGACCTGGCGTAGATTGCGATGCTCACCCAGGCGGTGGTTCTGGACCTGGACCTGATTTCGGCTACCAGCAACCGGAAGCTGGATACGGCAGAGAAGGTCAAGGAGCTGATACAGGATTTGGAGGTCAGTCCGGCGCTGGTTTCGGTAATCAACCCAGACCGGATTACGGTGGGGGCAATCGGCCTTTCCAGCCTCGTCCAGGCCAACCCCAACAGCCGAATCAACCAGAGTATGAAAGCGAACAAAGGGGTCAACCCATTCAGCCACGTCCGCAAACAGGAGACCAAGGCACAATTGACTTTAACTACCAACAACCGGGTAATGCTGGGAGTCCCTTGCAGCCACGCCCAGGAGTGGCAGACAACGATCAGTTTCAACCATCTGGCAACCCCATTCAGCCACGTCCTCAACATGGCGGGCACGACAAACCTGAATTCGACTACCGACAACCTGGCAGCTCTGGAATTCCCTTGCAGCCACGCCCAGAAGTGACTGGACCCGACAATGGACAACCTGGCAAACCAATTCAACCGCGACCCACAGATTCCATAAATGTCCAGCCCTCTCACGAAGCAGCCAATTTCAATCCCATTCAACCACTTCCAGGGCAAGGCCAACAGCCACAACAGACGTATAAGTCGAATGCAGGAGATCAGCATCCCATAGATCAGTCAGTTGGCACCACCTTACAGCCTCGACCCGGATCTGGTGGTGCCCTTTCCGACCCCGAGACTAATCCACAAAGCACAGTGGACGACAATATTGCGTCCATTTTCAATACGAATAATTTTATGACCCCCACACTGACGGAAGGCAATGGGTTGCACGGGTCTAGGGACCCTAAGTCCCAAGCTGAAGTTAATCAACCGGAATCCATTGCAGGACGCAACCTATTTGAAACAATGCCGCAGTGCCCCGAAGGAACAGAGGTGCGGGGCGGACGCTGTCGCCAGAAGGCCTAAAATATAGAAACATCGCAACTTAGTTAATCGGCTAAACAATCTGACAATATGTTGCCTCAGTGGAAACAAAATTGTATTAAATATTTAATAAACAATAATTCGATTCGTACAAAATTTATTGAAATTAAACAGAAAGTGTATAGCTTTTAATTTATTTCCCCATATCTGATATATAAATATGAAATTGGATATACATATATTTGTATTATACCGTGTGACTCACTAAAACATACATTTTTCCTGGAGTGTGACGAAATTAAAAAACAAACTAGTCCGCAAAAATAAATGTGACGGTTGATAACCCAATCAGTATTATATTTGAGGTCGGGAAAGTTCACTCAAAACGTTGAAAATTCTATAATGTAATCATTTGATATACAAGATCATTTGCTTACTTTTATAAATGCTTTATACCTTATAGATACATAATCGTATGCCACAAGCTCGAGAGCAACAATTGCTTTGCATGGATCCATATGCATCATTATTATCAACCCGTACAGTTGGATGCAACCGACTATGCCATGTTTACGGGTATACTCAGACTACTTTGGTTTTAGGGATCGGGGTGCGTCACAACCATAACAGACAGATATACAGAAATGGAACAAAAACAATATACTTTTACTTATTTGTTGTATCTGTGAACGTCCAACATATTAAATTAAATGTGTGTCAAAGATTGTCTGGGCAAAGTTTTGAATTTCGTTCGCTCGGCCTTATCAACGATCCTTATTAAACTCATTTCAGACGTATTTCACACCTTTCGCAAAATCCACCACCCTTGGATGGAAAACGCGAGTTAGAAGTTCAATGAACGCATGTTTATATTTTATCTTCATGTCGCTTACCACGAGGCTATAATGGGCGGAAAACGTTGATTCCAACATTCGGCTCTCATTTCAATGGCCTTCAAACCTAGTTTCAAGTTTAACTTAAGATGTTAAGTTCAAGATAGTACAGATAGATTAAAATTATTCAGTGAAAACATGGACCGAGCGAATTATCTCGAATGCAAATTCTATGAGCGGCAGTTCATGCTTTCCTCACAATTTGAAAATGGAACAGACATAAAAATGATTTCTGTTCGGAGAATATTATAGCTCATAGCCCTGTCCAATGGCCAGCCGCTGAATTATTCACATGCGAATCATGTCAACAATTCTGAAGCTTGAAGCTATTATAAATCCCAAAGGTTAGTTTTCAAGAAATGAGGGTTACTTCTTGAGTATTCTGGCTGATTTTCCATCCAGATATATGTCTGTATCACATAGGCATGACAACAATCAAATTCAATCTCAACCAAAGTCCGTGCGAGCTCATGCGCCCAGCTATGATGAAGGTAATAATTTGTAATGTTGTTCTTAATATCTGATATCTGAAGCAAGAAACCCGATATATTATTCAATTTTAGCGAATGAGTCACATTTGAATATTTAGATTAATGCATAAAGAACATAGTTTTCCTAATCACACAGACACAGTGTACTGGAAATCAAGTAATATGTTTTCCTCGACTGACATTAATATTAGTGCTAGATAAAGTCATTCAATTGATTTACGTTAAACGATACATCCGATACTTTATCTAAGCTGAACCACCCATTTTGGCTTGAAAGAGCTTTTCCCCATAAAAAGCAATATCAAATGCGTCATTGAATTAACGTACAATTAAAAAACAGTACCCTGAACTGTGACATCACAGCCTATGGGGCCGATAAATAAAACAACAGCTAGAAAGAGCAGTTGCTTACGGAACGCCGACGAGTCAATACACTACACATATACAAATTTGATCTTAGTTGTTATGTTACCCTGAACCTGAACAGCCATGCCCTAAACAACAAATATGCAAGTTCGAATCCCCGGCTAGTTGGTTAAAAGTGATTTTTCATATTCATTTTTAACAAATTGTTACTTTGGAAACTATGCTTCAAGACTGAGAGATATGAGATATGGCTAAATCGACTCGCCTGTTGATAAATACTCTTGAAGTAGCCGGGACTGTCTTCTTACCAACAGAGTGACAAAGTTTATATTCCCTTTGTTAGGTTATTAAATTAGATATGTTAGTGTCGACCATCCCGGGCGGGAATACTCGTGCTCGGAGCGCTCGCAACGTAATTTGTTGATAGTAATCCCAGCGGTATCAAAACAAGTCAGCTATAACTATTCCGGCGTCTGAGTAACGGCAGAACTGGGAGGTGAAGCACCAAAGCTTAGTCGTTGTCTATATAAAAGGGGTTACGCACTTGGTCAACTTGTTTAGTTGCTGCAGTCGAGTCGCGCTGGCTAGTGCCCGATATTTGTTCAAAATGAAGCTATTATCTACTAATTATCTATATCAGCTGCTTATTCTGCTGGTATACCTGAGTGCATTGGCCGCAGCGAGTCCAGTAAGGTCCAGGGACATGTCCAAATGCCCGCCGCGTTTTAAAATGTATCTCGGACGTTGTCGGTTGCCCGCCTGAAGTGATCCGATCTAATCAGCTCGAAACACTCGGACATAGCTTTAAGAAACGGCGTATTCCTACTCAGACAAGTCAAGTATTTGTGGACATATCGTATTAATACTTGTAAAACACTTTGAGCACGTAGCTCCATGCTAGTCATAAGCTTTATAAATAAATTCTTGTAGAACCACCGTGTCGTCATCATTTGTGGCTTACTCCGTTAATTGGGTATCCATATATATATTTATATATATATGTATGTAAATGTAATCGGGAATTTTATAGAACTTTGCACCACAGCTGCGGCCAAGTAATTAGCCAACCACTTTGCAATTTCACAGTCTTTTTATTATTCGTTCTTGATTCACAAAACACATTTGCGGCAGTCAGATATCAGCAAAAGGTACTCGCCAAAGTCTGAGTGCCTTTCTAGGCAATTTTTCGGCATCGTTGCCGATCACTGGTTAGCTTAAAGCCCTCTGGACACATTTTTGGCACATCAAAAATAGTCTGCAGTATAGGATTCACATCCATACCCGTATTCTGCAACTGCCCCTCATCTGTCTGCATCTGGGGCTTGGTCATCGGAATGCTATTTTCGACCTTCGGGGGGAAGCCTTCGCTCTGCCGGCTGAGCAGGCAGCACAGCAATATTCCCAAGCACAGTGCGGCAAGTGGACGACGCTCTGATTGCATATTGAAGATTATCTCTAGGCTTGGCCTTCACACCAGTCCAAAGTTAGCTGCGAAACTAAACGAAGCTCCGCTTGTTGGCACTCTTCAAAGTATCGATCAAGCCATAATCCAAGCTTTCCTCTAGATATCTCTCGCAAATGTACGTGTATCTCAAAAGTTGAACTTTGAGTAATAATAATATTTAAACACTCAATGAGCTTTAGCTGGCATTCGAATGAGCAGCAAAGCTCTAGCAGATGTTTGTCCAATAAAAGCGAGCGAGCTTTGAGTACGAAAGCTTTACAAGCGATTATTGGATACTGAGACCGGCATCGTCTCAAAACTCAACAGTAAAAACAAATTACTAAATACTACCAAGTTATTAAGTAAATAATAGACGACGTATTAGTTACGCTTTAATTTAAAATCATAGTTTTTTTCGTATTTCTTTATTTCTAATAATTAAGTATATTCCATTAATTTATTTCGCATATTATAATTATAATAATTTATAATTAATTATAATTTTTAAAAAATGTTTCTTTCCTTTGATTAATATAAATATTTTAAATTTATTATATGGCTTACATTTTTTTATATCAATAAACCAATTTTCATTATTTCATTTTGTTTTCTATTCTATAAATATATTAATGCAAACAAATGCTAGCCTAGATCTTTCACAAAATTGTTAACATTTTTGAATTGTTCTACAGCATATTTCGTATTTCTTCATTTCTAACAATATAGAATAATTTTTAATTTAATTTCACATATTGTTTGCCAGGGTAATAACCAATGTGCAAGATACTTGTTTATATTTCGATGGATTGATTTTTCGCACTGATTCAGAGAGCTTTTTCTTCACTGACAATTTTCACAAACTTTCTTTGTCACTTAATTTTACATTTACTACAAAATGTTTTAGTTCAACTGCAACAGTCACTGCCAACAATATTTCAACAGTGCGTGTGAATGAATCAATGGAATTAAATAGCTAATTAACTTGTATATGTAAATACAAAGAGTATTTATTTGTTGCTTTCCATTGCGGCTCGAATCTGTTGGTGCTGGGCGTTTGCCCTGGCCGCGTGATTACTGTTGTTTACACCCGGACTAATGGCGCTCCAGCCGATCCAGCAGACAGCGTGCACAACCAGAACAACGATTCCAATGCGAACAGCTGGCTTGTGCATAAAGCTCTTCGCGCCATGTTTACCACTCTCCATGTCTTCGTCAACTGAACGCATTTCGCATTCGCGTTTCGATGGCAAAAGCTCAACGCGGAAGAGATTGGTGGCGTAAAAGCTTCTCATTCGTTTTGCAGGGCTGCGATCTGTTAAATCTTGTGAATCATTTATGGAGCTGCGCATTTATACATTGATTCAGTGAAACAATATTCAATAATAATGAAATCAAAGCTTAAAAGCTTTGTCTCAAAAATACAAATTTCACGAATTATTTTAATTAGCAATTATCGAATAATTTTCAAATAAATTAAATTGTTTTTGATTCTTGTTATTGATTTATTTACATGGTTATAATACTAAATCCGTAACATTTAGGCTGCCTTGCGACAACGTTGTGGTCGACCATAGAGCATAAAGCCAGGAGGACATATTCGCGGCACATCGAGGATGGTGGGCATTAAGATCCGTGTGGCATTTCCAGATGATATCGTCTGTGAAGATGACGCATTGATTTCGTTGTATTTAATTGGCGTAGGCGGCGATGCTTCACACGGCCAGCTGATAAGAAGAGATAACACCAGTATCAAGCACAGTCCGAAAGGTTTACGAGCTGTCAACATTTTTGAATATAATCTCAGAGCCGCCAGACTTACATCTGGGCCGCGTGAGCTACGGAACTGAATAAGTTTTTAGGGCTGCTTTCCAATTTATTGATGAATCTTATTTTAAGCTTTTATCCAGATGAACAAGATTATTTCAAAAAGCGGGAAAGCTTTCACGAACTAGTGTAGAGATGTTGATTCAATAAAGCTGACGAGAAACTTTAAAAGCTGCCCCGTTGGAAATCTGTTAAGATCTCTCGAGAGCGGTTCCAGAAGTACTTGAAGTTGTTCTGCTTTGCACACATTATAAGAAGGCTTAAAAGCCTAAAATTATAATATTCATTTTTGAATTTGATTTATTATTTGTTATATTATTCAAATAATTAATTTTTCGCTTAACTTAGAACAGATTTTTGCATTGTCTGGTTCAATTTAATTTTTACTTTTTTAACATTATTAATCATTTGCACTTTGCATGTTTCTTATTATTATTTTACCGATGGAGTATGCAATTGCAAAAAAGGAACTATTATATTCCCTGTAGAGCTAGGTTCATTTTCTGTTAAAAAGGTTTTTTTATTTTTATTATTATTAAATGCTTTAAAATTGATGTTATATTTAATATTAATATAATTTAGACTAGTAGACTAGTATTGAAAATATTTCCTTAAGCTTTTAATTTCTCTTCAAATTTGCGTTTAATTTTTATTTATATTCCCCGTGCATATGTAGATACAATAATTCGGAAGGATGAAATCTAGTCTAATATGCAATTTTTGTAAAATTTTAAAAACTATGTTGAAGGCAAATTCCTAAATCTACTTTGAGAGCTAAAACTTTAATCTTAAGCGAGCTCTAAGCAAACGCTGGCATCTTTAGCAGCTCGAAATGTTTTCCACTGACCAGTTCGGTGTTGCCACGCCCACAGGGGCATACTAGCAGTCTGTAACCACAAAACTTTGCAACGGCGCAAACACAAAGCCAACTGGCTGCAAAGCAAATGTTCAGCATCAAATGGCACACAAAACGCTCGTATTACGTATACGCCAAGTGTGCTGCCCCCAGGGAGCAGGGGAGAGGTCTGCGGCAAGGTGTGGCAGAAGCTGATGCTGAAAGATTGAAGCTGGAGGCAACTGGAATTAGCATGTTATGTTTAACGCATTTTTGCACCTTCGACGTGTGTCTGTGCCTGACTTTGGATGTAAGCTTGCATGGGGCTTGCCAGTGGGTGGGTGGCGGGTAGTTGGGGGACACATGTGCAAACAAGACGCCGCCTTAACCCATTGTGGCTTATCCTGCGGCATTTTCCACACATTTAATCGCATTTTGTTTTCTGTGGAGCATTGTTGAGAGCACACATGAATTTTAAAATGCGGTTTGTTGTGGCGAGAATTGGGCGGTAGAAGGAGGACCACAGTACAGGGTACAGTATCTACCACCGGCTTAAGGTGAGCATTTGCTGTGAGTGCCATTGAATAATGCAGCGGCTGCAGCTGCAGCTGTTGCTATTGCTAATGCTGCCCGATTCCAACAAATGAAAATTGAATTTACGTTGCGACAGTTAAAAATTTCACGAGTCACATCAACATTTTTCGCACGGTACGCGGGGCGTTTGCGGGTGCTGTGTGTGTGAGTGTGTGGGGGGGGCAAGGAAGTAAAAGCGTTTTGCCTTCGCTTGCAGGCTCATTAAATAGATGCTCGAAACGTGCTTCCATTTTGGGGCACATTTCATTAAGTGCACGTAAACGGCAGGCTGTCAACTAGCAGTGGGCGTGACATGTCCGCCCACACCCCCCAACACCCCAACACCCAAACACCCCACACACACGGTTACTTATACACTGCGGCACTTGGGTAATTCTCAACGTAAACACTTTGGAAACATGTCGCAAAGACATCAATTACAGCATCGATTCCCCTTCCCACCCTGCCGGGCCAGGCCACAGTTACATGAACCGAACTGTTGGCGATGATAACGTTGATAATGATGATGTTTCAATGAATGTTTGCTGACAATGCTGCGGTTTACTCTTACCACATTTCAAATGTATTTTTATGTGAGTACTCGAAACACTCATACCCATGCCTTTACTCTTACCCGAGAATTTGCTTCTCATTGCTTAAATACATTTCGACTACGTGTCGTGTACCCAAAGCTGTCCATGTGGACCCATATGCAAACAGAAACAATGCTCAGGCAAAAAGCCATAGACATGAATAGACAACTCTTAATTGCGTTGCGTGCGAAATGAAGGCAATTATTGAGGTCGATAGCTCTTTTTTGTATATGCTTGAAAATGTAAATATTTTGAGTGATATATTTTCAATAGAAAAATTGTATTTTTGAAAGCCCCTTTCTTCTATGGAAATTAAAATTGAACTTAATTGGTTGTAATTTACTTCCATTGACAATTAAAATATAGCACCAAAACATAAATATAAGAAAATATATACCTACATAACATTTAAGAAATGTTATAGAGAGCAGAAAATACTTAAAACAAATTAAATAAATTATATTCATATATCCTAAACATAATGTGTTATTCGTGTCCATTTCCTACTATATTTTCTTTATAAAAATAGCTTCAGTTTTTCCATGTAATAAACAAACATTCTCGCTAAGTGAGGCAAACTCATTAAATTAAGGCAAAAACACGTCCTTACTCACTCAAAAGGTATTTCATAAGCACCGTTAAGTAATTAGAAAAGTGCCGCCGTATTCCAATTAGCAAAAAGTTCTATGACAATTGCAGTTTTTCATGTTGAAATTATCTGTCCAGCAGCACCTTGAGCACGAAGCACACTTGAACAAAAATTTTAAACCTGCACTCTACAAAATGTCATGGCAATGTGCGCCATCAAACTTCCAACAACTACGACAAGTGCTCTACATTTTTAATTGCGCTGCAATAAAATGGATTAAAATACTCGAGTCAAAGTATCTGTCCCCATTTTGCATTGTTTTATATTTATTTATTTAAAAATTTTGTACACCACTCAGAATTCGTTCTATTCGTGTTACCGAGCGATCATCGAAGCGCCACGCCCACAAAACGAGTGATAAATCACATCGCAAAGGGCATCACGCAAATCCTCACGCTGCCGAATAAAACGATTCATCTCATCAACGCGGGTGTGACTTGCTTTCAGAAAGTGTGAAAGTAAGTGAAGACTGACTACAGAAATGATCCTGTGAAGTATAGTCTTAATTTCTCAATGCCCACCAAAATGCTCTATACGCCACTCGACCAAGAACCGATTGGGAATTGCATGAAAGCAAACGAAAAAATATACAAATCGTACAGGGGTTGGTATGCCGTCGCCGTCGCGTGTTTATTGCGTTTTGTTATTGTGTGTAGCCGCTGCTTCTAAGCAAACGAGTCACATTTTGTGCGAGCGAGCGATGATCATCAGCAGACGAGTTCCAGCTGATTGTAGGTATTCAAACATGTTTTTAACAAAAGTGTAAAAATAAAAAAATCACTTGGCAGCGGTGGGATTCGAACCCACGCCTCCGAGGAGACTGGTGCCTTAAACCAGCGCCTTAGACCGCTCGGCCACGCTACCATGTTTCGTGGCGACGCCCAATATCGTAATAATGTGAAGTGCTTTTCATTGATTATCGGCAGACGTATTTTTCATTCCTCATTTTAATTCATTTGTATTAAAACTCTTGCGCGGCTCATGAACCAATTGATATTAAAAGAACGTTGTCTTTAAATTAAATTAAATGATTCACTAAATGCGCACAAATTTTCTAATTAAGCAATGTAAGATGAACTATTTTGTCAACTCATTCATTAAGTTTTCATTTATTTCTAATTCGTGCAAGCTCAGAGGCCGCCGCCTTGCATTTCAATTGTGCGTGTTGTCTGTCGCCTGGAAGGCGCCTGGAATGTGCCCACAATGCGCCTTTGTTCGATTGCTTTGTCATTTCGGTTAGTGAATTGTTTGAAATTTAATTTGAGGCTCTCTCGGACATGTCCCAGGAAATTCATTGGATTCCAGGTAATGCCCACAATTAACTCCATTAGCATTTGGTCCGGTTGCTGCCCAATTGGTGCCGTACGTGATTTTTTGCGTTTTACACGCGTCTGGCATTAAATATTTACAGCTCTGCAATTATTTGCATGCCAAGCGCCTTAAATTTGTGGAAAATTCACGTGTGTGGCTAAATATTTTGTATGCTGACGCGGCTGCGGCTGCTTTTTGCAGACCTTTGCTGGCATTTTAATGAAACCGCAAATGTTGCCCGTACCACCCCAACCCCCAACCTACAACCCAGGGCACACCGCACCACACCCTTGTACATGAGCTGAGACTCGCCCAGGAAAACCGCAGACTTTGTTTTTGTTTTGCCTGTCGCCCGTGCAAAGATTTTTATTGCAATTTTCTAATTTCATTGCGGATGTTCCCTCGAGTGCCTCTCCCATAGAGTTGCCTGTCGCCGGCTTCAGTTTATGGCTGCAGCAACCGACATCAGACGGCAGCCGACAGCCGGCAGACAACCGACAAGAACAATAACAAAGGCGGCGGCAAATTGTTGCTGCGGTTGCACATGTGAGGGACTCGTTTAGCTTGCCCCTTCAGCGCGCCCCTTGCACGTCACGCATAAATTCGCATTTTCATTTGAATTTTAAACGCATTTCCCAACCGTCTTAGCAAAAACGCTGACAGTTTTGTAAAAATAATAAATATTTTAATGCAGAGCTCTTCAATATAGTCAAGAATACGCTAGAAATTGATTTCGTTTCATTGGCATTTTCCCCAATGAGCGCATTTATATGCGCCGCAGTGTGGCAAGCAAAATAAACTCAAGGTGTTGCCCCATGCGCCGCCCCATGAAAATAGTTCAACATCAAAATACTACTGCGGCCTTTCGTTACGTCATCGTCGTAGTCAACGTGAAACGAGCGCAAAGCAACGAAAATTCCACGAGCGCGCAGTTTTATACTTGTTTTCTCCTTCTCGTTCTCTGTTATAGCCCATTTGACACAGAACACACAACAGGTAGCGTGGCCGAGCGGTCTAAGGCGCTGGTTTAAGGCACCAGTCTCCTCGGAGGCGTGGGTTCGAATCCCACCGCTGCCAAGTGATTTTTTTCATTATTTTATTTTTACTTAATTGTAAAAAACGTGTTTTAATATTTTCAATCAGTTGGAATCGTTCACTGCTGATCGTCGCTCGCACACAATTTTACAAGTAGCTGTCGCATACAAGACGTAATTCAACGCGACCGAACAGCAACCCCTGTACGAGTTGCTTTTTTTTCTTTCGCTTTCTTAGAATTCCCAATCGGTTCTTGGTCGAGTGGCGTCTAGAGCATTTTGGTGGGCATTGAGAAATTAAGACTATACTTCACAGGATCATTTCTGTAGTCAGTCTTCACTTACTTTCACACTTTCTGAAAGCAAGTCACACCCGCGTTGATGAGATGAATCGTTTTATTCGGCAGCGTGAGGATTTGCGTGATGCCCTTTGCGATGTGATTTATCACTCGTTTTGTGGGCGTGGCGCTTCGATGATCGCTCGGTAACACGAATAGAACGAATTCTGAGTGGTGTACAAAATTTTTGAATGAATTAATTTAAAGTTAAATGCTGTTGAAGTGGTGAAAAGAGCCAAGTACAGTTAGTTTAGATTGAGTTAAGTGCGTACTGTTAAAAAAGTGCGTTAGAACTTTTCTATTGAAAAATGCGATTAGCATTTCGAGGAAAGTTTCTTTTACGTGAGGAGCTGTAAGCATTCACTCACTCCGCCGTTTCAATGTGTTATTGGCAATATTTTATAGGATGCCGTGAACCATACCCCGTTTGTTCACCCACCTTTGGTGCTGTTGTAGCCAGTGAAAAATTTGTATGTCGTTGTAACTTTCAGTCTGGAATCAGCGGAAAGTGGGAAGTTGGGGAAAGTCTCTTGGCACATAAGTTTTGTGCACGTTAAGTACTTTTTCATAAGCATCGCTTGTTGTTGCCTGGGAAGAACCTCTGCCCATGTTCTAGTGCCCCCATGCCTCGGGGGCATAATATGCACATGCAACAAGGGCAACAAATAATACAGACTGGCAATAAAAGTACGATACATATTCAAGGGCCAAAAAAAATTTCAAATAGTTTCCAGCTACTTTTTTCAGAGTTTGCAAATGGCGTACGCGATAGTGGGAAAGAAGTACGAGATGGAAAAGGGAAATGTTAAATTACTTTCAGAGTATTTTTAAGGGCTTCCCGGTTTTTTTTTGTGTCAAAAGTTTTTGGGCACTAAATTAAGCGATTACAAAAATGCTATTGTTGATAATAGAATTTATAAACTGATATCTCAAGTATAGTTTATCAACTTGCTACGTTTGCTAGGAAATGATTTTTTTTTTATATTAGCAGGCTTTTTTTGTGAATTCTTTTACAAATGCCGGATCAAATAAGGCCAACAAATAGTTCACACTGTGATGTAGAAATTTAAAGAAATAAAAAAATAATATTTTCATTCAACAATAAAACAGAAGTTAACAAAATTATTGCAATTATATTAAACATGTAAGTAATTCATTCACGTAGCACGAAAGTAACTTTACTGTAGTGAAGTTAAGTTCTTTATAGATATTAATGGACATGCCAAAAGTATGCAGATAGTTTTGATCAGCGCTGCCTTTATTTAGCGGGGTAAGAGTATGCAATCAAGTATTGTTAATAATTTTACTAAAGTAAAAACAATTAAACAAAAAACGGCAGAATAAACAATATGTTTGTGGCTCAGGTTTGTAGGCTAATTGATGAAACTTAAAAAATATCATTTGTTTTTTTGTCTAGGCTGTCTTTTATTATTAGTTTACTTGAGTCGAGAAATTTTTAATGTGAAGTTAGGAATTTGAACCATAAGAATCGCTCGCTTCCCATCTCACTTTATTTCTTTTTTTTTTTAATTTTATTTCTTTAATATTCTAACACAAAACTTATCCGTCGACAGTTTAGACTAACTTCTATTCTACCTATTCGACATTCACACATACATAGTTCGAAATATGTGTGTATATGTTTATTTGATGCTAAGAAAGTTGGTTGGGGCAGCCCGGGCAAAAAAACGAAGAAGCAACTTCTTTTCTTTGGCATTTTTCGTTGAACTTTGGCCTCCGGCAGCATGCGGAGCTGCTGCCTGAAGCCACTTTGCTTGCCTCGCACGTAGCGTCATTTTTGACATTTAATTATGGTTGCCGCTGCTACAGAGTACAGTTTGAGTAGCACTACGAGTACTCGCAGTGGTATTCACATTCGTATACGTATTGTTGGGCCCCTATGTGAAGCTAGTAAGCTGTAAACTCGATTTCATGGCTCGTCTGAAAGGTGCTGCCATTGCTGCCAATGTTGCCACTGCGCCAGGTAACTTGACGCATCTCCAATGCGTGCTACGTGTGCATCTTACATGTACCTGTCTATGGGCAGCTAGCCCCCTTTGCTAGGGACGTGCGTTGTCAAAACTGACTCTTAAAAAAAATAGAAAAAAAAATGCTTAGTTGTGTTGGCTTTTCTTTGTGGAGACTCTGCAGCTGGACAAAGCTGTCCCTGCTGGCGATTTATGAAAAAATCGCAGGCACGTGACGTGAAACGGCAAAGGATTTTGGGTTGGCATCGCCCTGGCCACTCTCACTCCCCGTCTCCGCTGGCTGCTGGACAATTGCGTCTAAATTAATTATCAAGGATAACGGCGCATAAGGTTCGCCTGTGTCGTTCGCATTGTGTCCAGTGTCTGGTGCTTTGGCTAATTCAATTATGTGAGCCGGCGGGTAGCTGAGAAATTAAAAACGGCTTAGGCCAAGTTAATGCAGACTTAAGCGCGTTAATTAAAAGCCAGTTGATATGTTCATACACCCAAGCCCCCTTGCCCTGTGCCCCGGGCCACAACATCAGCTGCAATTGCAGCAGGGCAAAGGTTTACGGCCAATTCAACCGTCGCCCCCTCCCTCCAAAAAACTCATTGAAAAGAAAGTCTTAAACTGAAAGCCACCCCACAGCAGCTGGGGGCAAGCGGAGGGCGACCAATAAAATTGCCCGCTAAAATCACGAACTGCAAATCTCTTGAGAATAATTTGAAGCATAGCGAAAGCCAAAGATGCCGCCACGGAATCCTCCACATTAAAATATGATGAGCTCGGAAAAACGGAAACGAACAAATGAAAAACAAAGTTCATAAAAATGTTGTAAAGAAACGCGAAGCGAAAACCAACGTCAAGGTGTGTGCGAGGTGTGGCAGCAGAATAAGAGAAATGGGCGGGGCAATGGTCGAAAAAATAATCAACATAAAAAAGAAAATAATTTGCAATATTATCAGCGACTGCACAACCTGCTGTACAATGGGGTCAAGGAGCGCAAAAATTAAAGAATACAAGTTTAATAAAATTAAAATATATTCAGAAACTCTTCAAATATATAAATGATATAATACAATATAATATTTACAAAGTTTTGAAACGAACTGTTTCAGAAAAATATTATTATTTTATTTATTATATATTTTATGCAGCTTTAATGAACCGAGTAAATGAGTTTATTTTATAAAAACCATTTTTTGCTTTTTTTCAAATATGTTAATTAAGTCCACTGTACTTTTTAAAATGACCCCTTCGTGGCGGCTGCCAACAGTTGAACAATCTCTTATTCCCAGTTTTGGTTGGACAGTAATTGAAGTTTGGTGCGCTCTCAAACAAAATGCAAATTAAATTTGTTTTTAATCAAGCACACGCTTCAAACCACAAAAAAAAACTAACAACAAAAATAATAACAAAACGAAAAAAAAAAGGTTTTCTAGCGGGGGTCGCTTCAGGGTCGCTTGAGTGAGCTGCTTGGCGCGTGGCCCCGGCCACCGGCAAAGCAAATCAATTAAAGGGCCGCATTTCGAACACACAAAGCGCATTTTGTTGACCTCTAAGTCCAAAAATCAATTGGCTGCTGTCCACTCAACAGACTCAGGGGTCAAGATAATGCATAGATAAAGACGAAACGTGATCAAAGCTCCATCAATTCTTCAAGCTGCGTGCATCCACAGACCGCAAGAAACCGGTCGGCGTAGCCAGTGATTGGATCTATAGATCACAGCCGGACGGCAGAGACAAGCGAAGAGCGAGGCAGCTGGGGCCGATCAAGTTCAAAGTCATTTGACAGCTTCCGTCGCCGCTGGCAGTGACAGATCGGCGATCTTCACATTAGCTAACATATATAAGGTGTTGCATTCACCAAGAGCCACAGCACATTGCGTCTACCCATCGTAGCACAAACATCAAGACATTATGGTAGGCAGCCACTCACTGAGATATACCTTTATATGCCACCTAATGCCATCTTGCATTACAGAAATTCGTGATCATTGCCGTTGCCTTCCTGGCCTGCGCCTTCGCCGATGTTTCGGAACTAGCCCAGCCCGGCTATGACTACCCACAGCCGGCACTACCAGCGCCCGCACCCGTGGAGACCTACGTTCCGCCCGCACCCCCAGCACCACCAGCGCCCGAGTACATTCCACCGGCACCAGCTGCACCGCTGCCGGAGTACATCCCACCCGCACCCGTGGCTGCCCCGGCTGATGCCTACATTCCGCCCGCCGCCGCGGAGCCCGTCTTCGAGGAGATCGAGCAGCCCGCTCAGGATGGCTACCGTTATAAGACTGTGCGTCGTCGTGTCTTCCGTCACCGCAACTAAATGTGACCCGATCTGAATTGGAGAGGAGTCTTGCTTGTTTTTTGTTGTTATCGCTGGACTCGAGTGTGTTGGAAGCTGGCACCAAGCATATCTAGAGCGAAGAAGATATTGTAACTGTAAAATTGTTGTCTTGTATTTTCTTTGATACACATCAAAGGATCTCGAACAGGATAATGTAACTAAAGTTAATTATTAGCTATGAATAAATATATCAATAGTAAAATATATTAAAATGTTCATATTATTTTTTATTTTTTAATGTTTTAAGATTGAGTTTTAATTACCCTGAACCCATTGAAAATGGGTAAAAGGGGTATAATGTTTTTGTGCAAATGTATGTAACAGGCAGAAGAAAGCAACTGCGAACCTATAAAGCATTCATATTCTTGATCGGCATCAATAGCAGAGTTGATCTAGCCATGCCCGTCTGTCTGTCCAGAACCTATTAGAGCTAGATACTTGTAGATCCGTATATCCTCCAAGTGCCTGCGAAGTTCGAGTTTTCTTCCGATAATCAATAACAGTATAGTACAGTAAGATCTACTGTAGAAAATTTCATCCAGATCGGTTAAGAAGTTAACGGTTAAGAAGTTAACAGAAGCTAATACAGAAGTTAATAACTTCAAGTTATTAAAAAAAACGTAAGGTATTCACACTTAGATACACATACACATAAACAGACATTGTTTGGGATCACTTTATTCCAAGGTTAACAATGATTAAAGAGCATTTTAAAGATTAGTGAGGTGAGTTTTTTAGGTCAAGTTAATATAACTAGGAAACTCGAAGACGGGCACTCGTCTAGCAAGGTCTCAACCGTTGAATTATTTAAGACAGCAGATTTTGACAGCTGCATTAAGTGGAATTTTATATATTTGGAAGGCAGGTCATGAATACAGCCAGAATATGGTTCATTCCTATTGTGGAGTTGTTGGCGTCTAAATTCTACTTCACATTTCGCAAAGATTTTAGTGTCAGGTCCATAAACAACTCAATTTTCCATTCATTGGGAAAGCACTTCGTTTCCACTCCCGCTGAGTGGCTGGCATCGATAAGTTGCCGCAGCATCCACATCTCGTCCTGGTCCGTAGTTGTCGTTTATAAAACGCTTAACATTCGTGACATATTTCGCATTTGGCTGTGCGTCGTGCACAGAAATTTATAGACTTTATCCATTAGGAAAACAATTACGACTGCAAACAATGGCCCTGTTCGAGGCTGGCCAATGGCCAATGTCCAATGTCCAAGTCCAGTGGTGGCAGCGGCTCCCTAGCCCGGCCCGGCCCGGCCATATGTTGCAATTGCGATTGGGATGTGCGCCATTCTCGACGCCGTCTTCATCCTCTTTTAGGTTCATTGTCCTTGCCGGCGCGTAAGAAAAAATATATATTTTCTTATTATTTTGCCGCAGAATATGCGACTTTCCTGGACGAGGTCGGGTCTCTGGCTTCTTGGCTGCCGCTGCCGCTGCCGCTGTTGCTGCAACACAAATCCAATTACCTTCAAAATAATAAACTTATGTACATACCAAAAGCAAAAGCAAAATGCCAATGCTAAGCATGAGAATGAGCATGGGATAGCTCCCTCACACTTACACACACCCCCACACACACACCCATCCCCACACAGACCACTCGCATTTTATCAACTGTTGATAGACTCCATGGGGAATTTTCGTATGTCACACGATGGCGACAAAGGCGGCTGCGGCTTGCAGCTGCGGAGGTTGAGGGTTCGCCAAATGAGGAGCAGGGGATGAGCAGGGGGCGTGTGTCTGCCGCAGTTTTGTTTTTATACCCGTACCTTAGCTCGACCCATAAGGGTATACATTGTCAAGACGTTTAAAGACACTACGAACTCTGTTTCAGTTTTAAATATTAGTGGAATGTCCATCGCATGGAGAGTTCAAAACTTGACCAGCGCGGCACGACCCGATCGAGTTTTTTTCAAGCTAAGTAATTGTTTCCTTAATATTCTTTTTATTTTAGTTTTTTGTATTTTTATATTTATTTTAAAATTGCTTGACCAAGGCGTACCTCAGTCTGATAAATTAAATATAATTCAACTTACAGCAACTAATAAAAACAGTTTTTCTCTTTAGAAAAAACCTGACGATTATCTAAATATTTAAAAAAAATTGTTTTTAAATATTATATTATTATTTTATATATATTTCTCTCTCATTTTGGCTTATTAGTTTAGGAATGCAAATAATATTAAATATATATTTTTTTATAATTTTGCTGCTGACTTCCCCGGACCCGGTCTAGATAAGCACTTAGCAATATTTACCTTTCTTTCCATATGTTAAAAATGTAGTTTGTTTTTAGTTATATAATATGTAACTAAACGATAATTAGCTGAGTTTTTAATTGTATCTAGTTAAAATGACTTGGTATATACGAATTCCCAACATATTCTCCAAAGGTTATTCCTTAAAGATTGTATGGATAACTTTAATACTGTTCACTGTTTTAATTATAATATAATGTCCAAAGATGTTTTAAAGAAAAACAAAATTTGTCACGAAATACAATAGAAATTCTCTCAAATTCCTAATGTTTTGTAAGCTGCCATTTTTACCATTTCTTTCACCTACTTGTTATGTAGAGCTTATTTATTATAGTGATAATATATAGGCCCAGTTAATTAGAGTATTAACGGGTTGTGGTTACTGGGTGTCTGTTAGTCAAGTCTGCAGACTTCATGATTTGTTTTGTTTTCTTTTTTGTTCCCTTGCAGTCCTTGATACCCATTGTACCGCGCCGTCCTGTCTGCTGATTTCCACAGCTTGTTTGCTGCTCATTATTCGCCTGGCAGCAAAATGCACGAGCGCAAAATAATTTCGCCACTTGCATGTCATCAGCATAAACTGGGTGCAAAATATGTGGCATCCATTGGCGACGTCCACAACGAGGACCGTTGGCGGCGTTGGCCAAAGCAAATTCGTTTTAGAGCAAAGTCAACAGCAATTGGCCAAATGACTTGTAAGGGTTTCTGCCATGTCACTGCAGATACAGCTGAAGCAAGACAGAGAGAGCAAGGGAGAGCGAGGGAGCGCGAGGCAGAGAGAGGAGCTAACACAAGGATATAAACTAAAGCAGGAAGAGAAGCCCCCTCATCGACGCAGGACTGCCTCATATCCTTTCAGACTGGCGAGCAGTTTATTGAATTCGCATATTTTCCCATTTTGCATTATGGCCAACAAGTTGGCTCCTTTGTTTTTTAGCAAATTTTTGCCTCATGCTGTTTGATTTTGTAATCGAGGATTTGTTTGTTTTTTCTTTTCTGTTGTGGGGGGTACATATTTCCTTCTTGTTTTTTTTTTGGCATTGAATGTTTTATCCATTTTTTGGGTAGCTCAAATTGGTCTGGTCGTTGAATTGACCTTTTTACTGCACTGGCGATAGAGACGATAGCAGTCTGAATGCCGGTGACATGTGTTTGGCCTTGAGCGGTTTGTTTAGGGTTTTTGTGGTAAACATATTGGATGGGCATGACTCTTAGGCATGGCAATGGGCTGTGGCATGTTAAGTGGAAGTGAAGTGAGTTGAGTTGATTGCCAAAACTTGCTAAGGGTTGACCTGTTGGATTGCTCAATATGCTTCAAATCGATTTTCAGAGTAGATTTAAGAATGAGCTGTGCTTTCTTTAAACTAAATTCCTCCGTATACATCAATTACGGACAATATATTTAAGAACATATTTGAAGCTTTCTAAAGTTGCATATCTATTTATGCATAACTAAATATAAATACAAACATGTTTTATCATGTGCTCACCAAAAAATGTATTAGTTCGCCACCTATTAGAAGCAGGGAACACTAAAAAACTAATGAAGTAAAAACAGGTTAGAGTAAGAGGAGCAGAAAAAGGAGAAAGAGAGAGGGCGAGCGGTAGAAAGGTTAAGTAGATTTTTAATACAACTTGTTAATATAAACCTGATAAACAGAGATACAAGACTTACTTGAATTAATGATAATCGAATGACGTTTAATATGGAGCACAGAAAGCCTGTATTAACAGCGGCCATAGCAGATATTACCCGGCCTTGCCCGACTATCCTAAGAATCACATTTCCAGTTTTATGGTTAGTTAAAGTAATATGAAACTCTTCAAATTTGCTTAATAATTGTTTTTAAAGTTTATTGCGTTCGTTTAGATTTTCAAATTTTTTAACAAAACTTATTTCTTAAAAATTCTCTTCATCTTTCTTCTTTTATCACATTAGTCAACAAAATTCTTGGAATTCACAGAGCAGCTGCTTAGTTGCGGTGACGGAAGACACGACGACGGACGGTCTTGTAGCGGTAACCATCCTGAGCGGGCTGCTCGATCTCATCGAAGATGGGCTGCTCAGCCTGGATGGGGGCAACAGGAGGGGGAATGTAGGTGTTGACGGGAGCTACGGGAGCTGCAGGAGGGGGAATGTAGGTGTTCTTAGGTGCTGGTGGTGGTGGTGGAGGTGGGGGTGGGATGTAGGCCTTGGCTGGAGCGGCTGGAGGAGGAATGTATGCCTTGGCCGGAGCAGGAGGAGGAGGGATATAGGTGTTCTTTGGTGCCGGTGGTGGTGGTGGAGGTGGTGGGGGAATGTAGGCAGGTGCAGGTGCTGGCGCCGCCGGCTGTGGATAATTGTAGCCCTGTTCACCCAGCTCCGAAACATCCGCCATGGCGCAGGCCAAAAAGGCAACGGCAATGATCAGGAATTTCTGTGAATCGATAGATTGGCAGTTTTATTTAGATGTTTCTGTAGTCCTTTAATGATCCATTGATGCAATTTACCATCTTGGATTGCTTGGCTCTTTGCTGTGCTTGCTGCTTGTATCACCAGTCGCTGTGTACTGCTGAACTCTACGCCTGCTGCGGTTTTTATAGCCCATAGTTGAACCTCGGGTCAGCAGCAGCCGCTGCAGCCGCAAATTAATTGCGCGATGCCACGCTATCTGTGTGTGCCCTCAAGTGCCGCGAGCTACGCTTGAGATATGGGGTCTCAGTTCGAGTCGGTAGAGGGGCGTCAATGCCAAGTGGTTGGACGGGTTTCTTACTCCGACACCTTAAGACAATGCAATGAAGCATTGCGCCGGGGCATCGAGGGGGGTCAGCTCTTGGGAGCCAAAGCTTCTTTAATTAGATCAAAAAAAAAATAACATTTCGACCATTTACATATGAATGTCGTTAGTTATTGTTTTGCTTCTTTTTCGTCTCTGAGTGGAGTCTCTTCATCTTTTTCTTTTCTTGACGCTTTGGAGCTCTTGAGCTTGATGTATGTTCGTGGGTCACTCGCACTATTAGCGATGTTTTTTCTTCTTCTTCATTTTCATATTGCTCACATATTTTTGTTGTTTTGTGGCGTATTGGCTTTGTCATGGTTATTAGATGAATTATCTGCATAAAAAGGCAAAGTAAATTGGACAGCTGTTTCGGAAATATGTGTCGTATGTCTCTTCCTGTCCTCAACTTTGTGTGCTCAGACGAATTTCTGAAGACACTATGAAGAAACTTTGACTCATTTATAATGCGTTTGAGTGTTAATATATATTTATATACGGGAAACCAATGAACCCTGAGATTTGTAAACTGAACTCAATTGAACTAAGAATGTGAAAATAATTAACTTTAATATATAAATCTATAAAAATTAATACATATGGTTTTTAAATTATTTGTCTTATCTGAGGCCGCCGTTGCATTACTTTATACCAATCCATGTTGTTTATGAGAAGGTAAAACTATTAATTATGAGTTACATATAAAACACTAGCACAAGGGTATCTAAGCTTCGGCATGAAATGCGTTTTCTTCTTTAACTATTATTATTTTATAATGGCTTTATTTTTCAATGTTTCTTGTGTTATTTTAAATTTGATTTAATCTTGTTGCTCGTTTTTTCCTGTTTTTTTTTTTCATTATTTTTAATTTTAAGCTCACAATGCTGATTTATGTTCAGCAAATGAGCTTTCAGCCTATGGCATCGTTTTAAATTAATGCTAAAATTAATAACAATTGATTTTGTTTGTTTTTTTTTTCATATTTCTCTGGCTTTATTGCTGCTGATTTTGCTGGTCGGCTAGTTAATTGCCGAGAATCGCATTTGCCTAATTTATTTTCCCGGCGAATGCCAGGCATATTAAATAGATTTCGGTTCCCAGCTGTTTGCATAATATGAATACCAATTAGGATTTGTGTCTAACATAATGAAAGTGTTAATATGCTAGCAAGTATTCCAGCGCATAAATCCTAAATTATCGAAATAAGGAAATACAATTTAAATATGTGCTGGAAGGTTTTCGATGCATAGCTGCGGAACTCGAACATAAACTAAACAATTTGATTTTGTGTGGAGAATCAGCTCAGTAGTACGCTTTAATTTTGATTATTATTTGTAATACTCTGCAATGCAATTCCGGACGCAGAGTCTATAACATTATATATATATCTATATCTAATCCTATAACTGGCCACGCCGAGCACAGAGGCTGTAAAAGATGCAGACATTATGTTTGGTAAGCAGGTTCTCGTAAAGCACGCGCAGATCAAGTTTATTTTAATATTTTCATATTTCCGACCCGAACTCTGAACTCTGACTTAATTATATCCGCATATTTCAAAGATAAAACCTTGATTTTATATCTTTTAAATTAAGTTCTTGCAAAACATCTTTATTAACTGAACATCGAGAGTATTCCGGACTTCGGCGCAGGGTATCTTCTAGTCGATTGCTTTTGGAATTTGTTTTATATATTAAGATATCAAGGTGATATCGTGATTGATCATTTCCCATTTGTGCAATGAAGCAAACTATATATTTTGTAGAAACTTAATATCTTTTTATTGAATCAACTTCTTGTCTTCGCCTAAAATTTAGGGATCGGGTCGTTCACTGCTTAACGACGGCGACGGATCACACGGCGCACGGTCTTGTAGCGGTAACCATCGGCAGAGATGGGCTCGATTTCCTCCAGAGCGGGCTGGGGAGCCAGAACTGGGGCGGGAGCTGACCTGATTGGAGCTGGAGCGGGAGCAGCTGGTGGGATGTATTGGTTGACTGGGGCTGGAGCAGGAGCAACCCTGATAGGAGCTGGGGCGGGTGCTGGAGCAGCTGGTGGGATGTATTGGTTGACTGGGGCCGGAGCAGGAGCAACTCTGATGGGAGCTGGAGCTGGAGCCTCAATACGGATGGGAGCTGGTGCTGGAGCGGGCGCCTCAATCCGAATGGGAGCTGGGGCAGGCACATCCACGGGTGCGGGTGGAATGTAGGTGTTTACAGGCAATGGTGCAGGAGCAGCCTTAATGGGCAGAGGAGCTGGTGCCACCGGAGCTGGGGCTGGTGCGGCGTAATTGTAGCCCGACAGGTGGGACACATCGGCGTGGGCAACGGCCAAAAGGGCGAAGGCGACAACAAGAAGCTTCTGTAAGCAAAATTTAAAGGATTAGTCCTGATTGAGTTACTCCAACTGGCTGATGCTGCTGCAGCTACTGCTGCTATTAACTTCTGCTTCACCTACCATTTTGAGCGTGTTACTTGGAACGTTTAGGTAGCTAGTATATCTCTGACAGGCCGAGCCGGGAGTATTTATATGAAACTGTGCGCGGTGCTGGGTCCGAAGACAAACGCGATGAAGAATTGCGCACATTATAGGCTCTTAATATGCTAGAAACCAGAATTTTATTGTCAACAGCTATTTACACAAAAACTAATGGAGTGTAGGGTATATAATAAGCTTGGCGGGGTTATATGTTCAACAATTTGACGGTTCTTATAGATAGCAAAAGTCGGTTAGTACCTATCTAAAGTTGTCAGGAGAATGTGTATTTAATTATTTTCTTTATTAAAAGTCGTATAGCAATTGATATTATCTATAGTTCAAATTAATAAATACTTAATGTCGAGATTTATACATCTTATTTCGAGTTATCAATAATAATATTCATTAATATTTGTTTTCATTTATTATTTATTTGTTTTTGTTTGTATTTTAGTTGATATTTTTCTCTTTTACATTTAAATTCACTTTTAAAAAAACTACGAAAAATTAATTATCTTGACATTACTTTTTTTGAATTAGTTGGTTATGATTTGTTTTGTTATTTATATTTGATAAGTTTTTAATACTCTAATATTTAATAAATTAATTTTTATTTCCCTTAAAAATAGTTCTGAGGGTATGTTGTAAGGCAAATTGAAATACTTATGTTTATTATAGTGAAAAGACTATAATAATATGTGAATATAAAAACCTTCAATAATATATTTCTATATATAGGTCCTTGTTAATTTAAAGTGTGTTTAGAAATCGGCTATGTCCAATATCTAGTGACATTCGCACTTGTTTGCCATTGCTTGGATTTAAATGTAATTTGCATAAAACATAGATGCTTTATTTTCTATCAAAGTGATCTACCCACCGAACAGAGCTGAGCCGAGCTGAGTTGACGGGCAAGCCAAAAGTTGCTGCGATTAGTTTGCTTAATTGGCTTTGATAAGGCGGACCAGTATGTTTGGACAAAGACTCGTACTGCGGACTACAGCTGAGATGCGTCTTGCCAAATTTGACTCGCTACCAAGCGGCCCATTGTTGTCGTTTTATGGCCCAGAGTTGTTTCGTATGCGTTAGATACAGATACAAATGCGTAGCTGAATATGCGAGCAGCTGCAGGTCAAAAGTTGAGCGTGTCGCCAGTGCGACCGACGCCAGTCTTTCGCCCCATGTGTCAGCATGGAAAACAAATTAGCCGCCAAATGTGTGTGAGTGGGCGAGTGTATGTGTGTGTATGTATGTTTGTGTGTGGAAATTCAGTGAAGGACACGCTTTTCTCGCTCTTTTAATTACACAAATTGCCAATGAGCCACTTTTTGGATTGTCAACGCTTCAGTTTTGCCAAAAAGCATTTGAGACATTTCGGCGTCAGTCACAACGACTGCTGTTGTGGTTGTTGTTGCTTCTGTTGTTGCTGTTGTTGTTGTTGCTGTTTCTGTGTCGCCATTGTGATTCGAATATATTTTCAGCTCGCGACAAACAAAAACTACAAAAGCTATGCAAACAAGCACTTAACCCGCTTTTATTTTGACAATTCCATTATTTTCGTAGCGCCAATAAACTGAAACTGCAAAATGTTTTGAACCCACACACGCACAGGCACACACACACACACAAACACACACACACACTTACACATGTCATAGCATGTCATGCAACATTGCGTATACGTAATTTAGTTGTTTGTCTGTTAATAGCTGAAGTTGCAACGCATGCTGCACTGCAATGTATAAAAATTGACGGCACACAACTATTTGGGGGAATGTTCAGCAAAAATAGCATTTGGAATATTATTTGGGAATGCAGCGCTTCAAAGAATAACAAAGCAATTCTGTTGGAATTACAATTTGCACGATTTGAAAGAAAAAATAAGTTCAAATCATATTGCAATCGAACTTAAATGGGAAAAAGTATGTGAATGCAACAATATTAAGACATTTACTTTGAAGCTTTTGCGGTGGCTTTTAATCGGATTAGCAAATTTTTTTTAAAAGCTATGCTGAGGTATTTTATTGTGTGGTTTATTGAATGACATTTATTTGAACCCAACCTGCCCGCAAAGAGGTTAAAAACTTTTATTTAAAATACTCACATAACAATCTACGATTGCAAATAAGATTCTTAATAAACTTTTGCATTAATTAAATTAAAATAATAAATTTAAAGTTTATTTTAGAATGCTGTAGCCAGTTACAGGAACTACATTAGGTAAATATTTTTGCAGGATCTCGATAATAACAAGTTTCATAAAGTACCTTTTAAATATTAAAGTATAATTTTAGCTGCTATTAGCGGCTTTTTTTTCCAAATTGAACTAGTTCATTCATGCTAAATACTTATAGAATTTATTTTAAATTGTGTGCCTGTATGGAACTGGTTTATTTATACTTAAGAACATGTTACGCATTATTTGATTAGGTTTCTTAATTGCTCCCTTCTGCGGCCAAGTAAATATTTATCTTTTATCAACTGAGCGTTCATTTAGTAGTCCATTTACATATTCAGGCGCAAAGTTTCGTTTGAATAATGTCTTTGGCGATTAATTATTTGCTTTGATTCACATTCGAATGCGAAAAGCGGCTTTATCTAATGCATATTTTACGTTGAGACTTTCAGTTTCCTGCTTTGCCTGTCGCCGTCTTAAATCCAATTGAGTTTCAAAACGCGTTTGATGACCTATCGCCCTCCAGGGTCAACATAATAAACCACACGTAATGGTCTCCCGCTCTCTTGGCACGTTTTAGTAGTGAAAATAGTTGCAAAGTTGATCAAATAAATATTTAAAATGCATTCAACTGGATCAAAATGTGAAATGTAAACCAAGCGCAGAATACCTAACGGAATGCCAACTCTTCAACAGATGACAACGCTTAACAATCGATTTTAACATTTTTTTAATACCCGGCGACTGCCAGATCATAAATTCAGGCAACCCCAGGTCGATGCTGGGTCCGTGTTATATGCTCGTATATCTGTGTATTTCGCGAGATAAATCAACGCGCGACAAATTAATGCTGCAAATGAAGTGCAACTGCTGCAACATTCAGCGGCAGTAAGGTTGGGGTGTGGCTTGGGGTCTGAGTATAGGTGTAAAACAGGCACTGATATGGCCGCACATATTGAATCGCCGCCCCAATATGCAGTAACAGTAAAAATAAATGAAGGCAGTCAACGTTGCATATTTCAGTGGCCGTGCGGCTGCCACTGCTGATATAATTACGCAGATACTGTCAATATTGTGTGCGTGTGTGTGTGTGTGTACTCGAAACTGCCGTAAGCTGCGCTTGCTGTAAGCCCAATACCTGCCCGCTCCGTTCATAGGCCTCATCAGTTTTTATATGCGCCGCATTTTCACTTTTTCGGTTTCTTTTTTTTCGTTTTTGTTTTTGTTTTTTGCGTTGCGTCGGGTCCATTTCTTTTGCATACTTTCGGGCGGGGCTGACGCCTGTCTGCTGTGCGATTATTTTGTAATCCATGGCGCCTAAAGCATTGATTACACATTGCACACCTGGACAGCTCGCAGCGAGTGCGGGGTGGACGTACAGCTCGGCCGTAATGCGTGTTAATCAGCATCATTAACTGCTAATTAAGTGCGGTTGCAAATGCAGCCAACTGTCAACTGTTTCCAACCGCCATCGCTGCACCACCTGTCGTCTCTGCGTTTTATTTGGCCAGAGCTGGCTAAGCCGGTGAGCAGAGTGCAATGAGGCTGAAAATTGCACATTTCTCCATTCCTGGCAGATTGTTATTCGAACTAAGCGATTCATTAATCGCTGCTACTGCTGCGTGTGTGTGTGTGTGTGTGTGTGAATGCAGATAATAGAGCTTCAGAATAATGAAGCGGGCTGAAAAATTGTATACTATATTTTTAAAGATATTAAATTGAAAATTATAAATTATACATAAATAAATGCTTCAGTCTTTAATTCATGATATGTTTTACTTCTATGCAAAAACATGAAAATGTTATTTATTAATTTATAATAATAATTAGTTGTATGCTTATAATAATATTATATATTATTTATATTTTTTTAATTGGTTTACAGTATTAATTAAATGTATGTATAATAATAATAGTACAGATTTTTTTATTTTATTATTGATTCATAATAATAATTAATTTCTGCAATTTCACGTTTAATGTTGCTGGGCAGATAAGCACTGTGAGTCAAAGTTGAAATCCATTTAATATTTTTTCTATCTTGGTTTTATTTAGTTAAACTTTTGCAAGAGTGAAACATTGAAACAAAAGTAAGCTTCATTTATTATCGGCTAAAGTAAATCCAACTGATTGAACATTACCAAAAATCGAACGTTTGATTAATTTTGAGGGAATAAAATTGAAGGTCGCACATTTTATTTGACCTAATAAATATGTTAATTTGTACCAAAAGTTTTTTGATTAAGAATTAAGGTATCATATGATCCACGAATCTTAAGAGATCTTTTAAACAACTTTTCTTTTTTTATAATTGGTGTAGATGTTTTTTTTATATATTTATATGTATAATTTCATGTATTTCTAATTTTTTGAATCCAACCGACCGCACTGCACATTCCAGTTACAAATGCCAACTGATTAGTGTGGTCAAGTTCAATAGTCTATAAATTGTAATTGCCTGTCAAAATGGAGCAATGCAATTTCCACAATATCCACCTACTCGTAAATCCCAATGTATATAATTTTCCCAGCTCCGGTCCAGCCGGTTTGTGCGCATCAAAGCGTAAACGCATTTTAATTCATTTAATTAAGCTGCCAATATTTGACCAAAATGCAATTAACAAAATCAGGCTTGGGCTGGCGAACTGGCTTCGCCCCGGCCTGTGTCCCAGGACCTTTGTCCTCTGTCCGGCTTGATGCGGTTGCTATGGATAGGCCTAGCAAAAAATGATTTGTTTTAATTACGTAATTAATTTGGCAGCTTTTTGTTACCATACCCTGTAGCTATAAATTGAGTCAAGAGGGTCAATGAAGTTGTGCAAATGCTTGGCACAGGCAGAAGCACGCATATGCAACTCCAGTCCGTATGTGTGTGTTTATCCTTGAAGATCGAGTGGATATTGCCAAGTCCGTCCAAAGAGCAAGAGATTGGAGCACCAAATTTGACATTCATTTAAATTACTAAAAGAAATGAGGGACTCCGTCGTACGGTCCGGTATACATAGAAGCTTTTTAGCAGATAGTGGCGTGTGTGCTTGTGTGATGCAAAAAGCTGGTTACAGGGTATCTCCTAGACGGCAGATCTGGACTATAAAACTAATATTTGTTTTTATTTTTCTTTTTAATTAGTATGCGCCGTGTAATGTGTGTGGCTTCTGTGGCGGGGCTTTAAAGCCGAAACTCAAACACTGTTGCCTGAGCCCTGACCCTGGACATCAACTGGGCAGTAAAATCCATTGGAGCCAACGCGTCGTTGCAGACATTTCCCTAATCAAATCGTAAAGACGTCGTCGATGTCATCGCATTTTCTTGTTAATTTTTTTTTTTTGGTCTGCGACCCGTCGATATCCTGGCACTTGTGCCCTGTGTCCTGTGTCCTGGCACTTGTTAGCGCAATTGCGGCAGTCGCAGCCACAAGTGGTCAGTGGTCTGATGAGGCCAATGTGCACGACGGCCGTGGGCCGTTGGGCGTGGGCGTGGAAGTGGGCGAAACTTTTGAATCTAACGAGAAAAATTTCCACATCATCAAAGCTCATTCCAGCCCATAAATTTCGTGATAAATGTGAGTGCATGCCGAATGCCGTGCGGCAACTCCTTGGGGAGCGGGTGTGCGGCTGAGGCGACTCCTACTCCTGCTCAGGCAACTCCTTGACGGCCGCCTCTTGCTATCTGTCTGCTGATGGCGATGGCGATGCCGATGCGGATACTAAGTTGATTTCTCTTTTCTCTCAAGCATGCATTTGGCTTTCATAAATTTCCAACTTAAATGGATGCTCGCTCCTGGGCGAGAGGCTTGCCTTGAAGTGTCCATAAAGTTGAAGCTGCCGGCTGCAGCCGCTGATTGGGACTGTTGCTGATTGAGTGCGGCCGAGCTAGCATTTTGATTGGAAAACAATTTGGTAAAGTTTCAGTTTTCTTTTCTTTTATTGATATTCTATGGGAAATTCGTTAGGATGCGTTGCACTTTGGGGGCTTCGGATTTACAGGCGGTTGCGACGGTAGACGCGACGACGCACGGTCTTGTAGCGGTAGCCATCGGCAGAGGGCTGCTCGATCTCCTCGAGCGACTGGTGCGACTGGTAGGCGGGCGCGGGTGCGGACTGGAAAACTGGAGCGGGTGCGGGAGCAGAGTACTGAACTGGAGCGGGTGCCGGTGCAGAGTACTGGACTGGAGCTGGTGCGGGTGCCTCAAAATGAATTGGGGCAGGTGCGGGCTGATAGACTGGCGCCGGAGCTGGGATCGACACTGGTGCAGGTGGAATGTAGGTGTTGACTGGAGCAGGTGCGGGTGCCTCGAAGTGAACTGGGGCTGGTGCGGGGGCCTCGAAGTGCACTGGTGCAGGGGCGGGCTGGTAGACTGGTGCAGGAGCCTCATAGCGGACGGGAGCGGGAGCGGGTGCAGGTGGCACATAGGTGTTCACAGGGGCGGGCGCCTCATAGTGGACAGGTGCAGGCGCTGGCTGGTAGACCGGAGCGGGCGCTGGCTGGTAGACCGGAGCGGGTGCTGGCTGGTAAACCGGAGCGGGAGCTGGCTGGTAAACCGGAGCGGGAGCTGGCTGGTAGACCGGAGCGGGCGCTGGAGGTTGATAGTTGTAGCCCGATCCCAAGTGGGAGACATCGGCACTGGCGCAGGCCAGGAAGGCAACGGCAACGACCAAGAATTTCTGTACAAGAAACCACAATTAAAACCAATCCTCGAGCATGGGGCTCCATCATTCGTTGCTTACCATTTCAGTGATTAGATGACTCTTACTCCACAAGCGCTTGAATAGCTTCTGTCTGCTTATGGACTCGACCGTAACTATTTATACCATCGACAGATGAGAGCGGGCGTTCAAATACTCCAAGCTGCGTGCGTAAAACCTGCCTCAAAGCCGCTTCTGATGTTTGCTTGGGTGTAGCCAAAATCGAATATCGAATTGAGTATTCAAGTATGAATATACTCATTAAAGCTTGGTAGGACTGACTCGTCTTTGGGGGCCAGTCAATTGACTGATCTGACGCCAATATTGATCGCATCTTGTTGGTCAAAGAATTTATTGTGCGTTTCTTAAATTTATGCCATCAAATTGATTTTTATCATCGCTATCAGATATCATAAAGAATAAGTGCCAAAGGGAAATTTGTTTAAAATTTATTATATTTACTTTTGGAATTTGGTTGCGTCGATTTTATTTTTGGCAAATGTCTTGCATAGAGCCGGAAATTTGCAAATTACTTTTATCGCATGCCTAGCTGATAGAAAACTGGTTTGATTAAACTTTTTATGACCACTTTATAGTTCGTTGTTCTCAAAATATGCTACATTTTTTTTAATTGCCATGCGATCTTTGGCTAGAACAAGTTATATAAGTTGTTTATTGCATATATTTGACAGCTTTTAGCTCATCCTGGAATTGGTCTAAGCTACCAATAATTATTTGCATTATAATTCATTCAATTTTCATCCCATTTGATTTGTTGTACATGTACATCATGTGATTTGTTGGCTAAAGCCCTTGGCCATTAACATTTTGTTTTTTTTTGTTTGTTTAATTTTATTACCAAAACCAGTTCCATTTGCTCAAGCTATGTGGATGCTTTAAATTTGGGTCTGGCTATTGACGTGACTTCTTTAAATTAATATGGGTGCCGCTTCTGACAGCTTCTTGAAGGTTGCACACCGTTAGGCCATTGTCTTAATTTAAAAAAAAAATAATATATAGATGAGTAGTGCCTTTAGGAAATTTAATTAAATTTGTATGCTATATCAAAGGCGTTTTTATACCCTTCAAACATCGGTTTGGAAAAGAAGGGTATTAAAATATGTCGTTTGTGATCTCAACCAGTCTACATCTGATCTTTCTTATCATTTTAATTCGAGTCACAAGAGACATCAGCTACAAAATCACACGATTTTCTTTAGCTATCTAAAGCAAAGAAAATTAAAATAATCAATAAAAAATACAAGTTCCAAACACAAAAGATTTGTATTTAAAGTAAATAATAAAAAATATATATATAATAATAAATAAATCTATACAAAAAGATGCATTTATTTGCAAAAATGTTTTAGATTTTAATCATAAGGAAATAAATAAAATATTCTACTGCATTTACTTCTGATTTCTATTGTTATACGAGTCTCAAAGAACTTAGAGACAATAGCCTTTCCGGACTTCCGGCTTTTAGTTGAATAGAGATACGCCCACAAGAATTAAAACATATTCTTCGTATATCATTAACAAGCATATAAACAGTTTATTGATCAGTTCCGAAAAATGCAATAAATATAAATAAAAATAGAGGAAGTTACATCAACAAATTGAATATTATTTAAATTCAGAACATACAGAAATCAAGAGACCTTAACGATCTGTCTGCTCAGTTTCTTATAACTTGTTTCCTCATACCATATAGTTGTACACACTCCCGGAACGCTTCATTACTCCTCACAGTAGGGCCCATTATTTATGGTGATATTTTAATTTGCTGCTCCGGCATTGCCTTTGGTTTGTGATGAGTTGTGCTGTGGAGTAAATTGCAACTACAAATTAAGTTTATCAGGCAGTATATCATGAGCAATGCTGCTTAATTTTTTCGCTATGTTTTCTGCGCTGTCCAAATATTGGGTAGTAGATTTATTATCTGTCGGGCTGGTCGGGGCTGGGTCTCTCTGCCCGCGGTTGGATCATTTGCAAGCCAAGCGCAAACAAGAGACGCAAGTCAAACAGTCAGACAGTCAAACAGATTCATGGCCCAAGCGAATTAAAAAACTTGTTGTTAATGTTATGTGCAGCTACCAAATCTCAAATTTCAAATTTTCAGTCTTTTGTTTGCTTCCCATTTCTCGAACGAATCTCGTATGTAAATGTCGATCGTTTTGACGGCCAGCTTATGGGCAACTCTTGGCTTCCGTTGCAGATCTGCTCTAAGCTTTGTCCCACTTTTCTTAAAGGCAGCCAGATGGCAACAACTATTTCTCCGCTTGAGATCGGGCGCGTAACTAACAGAATTATGGCTTAATTTGACGCTCTTTTGTTTTAGTCATACCAAACTAACTAGTTTTTCTTTTAAAGAGATTTTTTTTGGATTATTTATGCATATTTTTATGGCTTGTTTGCCTAGCGCCACGAACCGAGGGCTAATTATACCTCAGCCATTGGCCTTGACTTTGAAATTTAAATTTTACCCAAGCATCTGTCCGGTAACTCTGTTTTTGTCATTTCCCTTTTGGGATTCTTATTCGCTTTCTTGGCCGTTTTGTTTTGGCATATTGTTCATTAGCTGTAATTAAAGCTCGCTTATGAATTTATGTAAATGCTAATTCATGTTTACCATAATACATTAATTGAGTTTACACTGAGCCAGCTTGAAGCTACCGCGTTTCGTAAATCCATCTGATGATTAGCTTCTTGCCATACATTTGATCACAATGAGCGCTAATGTCAGTGGTATTTAATTGTTTTCTCTATTATACGGTCTGCCCATTGTACTCTGATTTGCTTAGTCCGCATCTTTGCATATAAATGAGTTATGTTTTATATAGTTATAATTATGCTGATAAATACGGATGGCACATTATTATTAAGTTTACACAACACAAATGTCTACATTTTTGCTTCATTAGCACATGATGTCATCCATTTGGCCAACTTTTGTACCCTTCACTCATCAAATAACTGCATGATATTAATTGGCAATGTTTCTACAGGCAATTATAGATAGTCTAGTCGAAGCCTAAATAAAATATTCTTCATCAGCGTAGAATTTCGAGCTATATATATATATATATCAATATAGATATCAAAGGCCATAAACGGATAAACCATTTGCCTGTTATAAACTTTAGAGATTTCATATGAACAAAATTAATTAATTGCAATTTAATAGTTTTCGAGGAAAGAAATTAAGTTATTTAATGTTAGTCCCAAAAGCAGCGTATACGTGAATTTCCTTGAAAGAGAAAAAGTAATATTCAAGAGATATTGTTATCAATTAGTGATAGCTCCGAAGAAGAAACTTTAAAATTTTCCAAGGAAAGATTTCATTTGAGTTGAAAAATTATTAATGAATCGATAAAAAATTCTAAAAGTCTGTAAAGTCGAATATAAACTATTTGCCAGACACAAACACACGCACACACACAAGCACACACTCACATGCGCACTCCCGTAAATCAGCTTAAGAGACGCAATAAAATTTGTAGTGCGTGCTGTGTGCGGTAGGTGGAGCCACCTGTCAAAAAGTGAGCCAGCCAACCAGATAAGCGCAAAATTCTTAATGAAACGACACGCATGCACAGTAAAATGTGCATTTGTCGATGCGATGCCCCGAAAGCAGCTACCCATGTACGAGTGCAGTTGTATATATGTGGATGTTATATACGTACAGTTACAGTTAGTCAGAGCCTGGTCTTTTTAGCATTCAAAGCGACCCCCAAAAAAAGAAATAACTAGAGCGGAGCAGAGTCGAAAACTTCAGACTCGAAACGAGTCGACGAAGTTGCCAGCTGCGAGGTGCACTGCACAAAGGCAAACGGAAATGAAATCACGTACCAGGGGCGTTGTCATTCACAATGAGTGCGGCACCAGGCAGGACAAGGAGTAGTTGATTGCTGTTGCAGTTGTTGTTGTTGTTGTAGTTGTCAGCAGAGTCGCGGCAGCTGCCATTTTGTTCTGTCGTTGTGTGTACGTCTAATGTCCAATTTCAATTTGGACTGGTTGGCTGACAGCAGCGGCAAAGGCAAAGCTACCGCAAATGGCAAACAATGCAAACACCCCCCATCCCCACGCTAAAACCCCACACTCCGGGAAAAAAAATGAACACATGTGTGAGTGTTGTGTCCCTCAAGTCTAGTATTTCACTTAAGTGTGGATACTTGTACAGATAGCTAAAGAGGCAGAGTGCGGTAGATGTTCTGCTGAAAGGTGGAGCGAGTATGCCCGCATAAGTTTATTTACTTTTAACACGAAATAATAAAGTTTACAAAAGAAAACGTGCGCCGTGCGGTATGCTGCATTTTTTCTATGAGTATGTGCATGTGTTTGTGTGTCTGTGTGTGTGTCGCTAACTGTACCTCGCACTGCTCAAACGGCACTTTCTTTCTGGCCATTTGCTGTCACAATTTAAGCGCTCAAAGCGAATATTTAACAAACTCCTGAGAGCCGCCAATTTGTGTTGAAAGGCCACAAAGTGTTTTTCATACACTTTTCAGGTGATATTTTTGATATCTTTGTTATCGAGAATAAAAATTAGAAATACTCTTAAAGCTGCACAATGAAGACAATAATTAGAAATAACAAAATGTTAATATAAGTTATCTCTCTTTGATCTAGGTAAGCGTATTAGCTTCTAAATAGGATAAATATTTTTTGGAGCTATTTACCAAAATTAGGATATTTGAAAATTTTGAAATAAATGGTTGGTATACTGCACTTAAAAGTGGAAAATAAAATACCTTTAGGTAGGGTATTTTATATTGCAGGTAGTTAACTAAAGTGTAATTCAACGCATTGCAGTGAAACTCTCAACTTTTGTCACAGCGCCGAAAAAAAAGGTAGAAAAGTAGAAAAATTAGCGACATGCTGTGACGTGACTTGACTGCATGAGCCGCAACCACAGCTACCATACCCTGTAACTTTTCAGCCATGCCCTTTGTTTTTGCCGTGTGTCGTTGCTGTTAGCCATATGCTAGCGACAGGCTCTCATGGACAGCTTATGGATGCAGCCCGGCACTTACGGCCAACTGAATTATTTAAAAAGTCGCTAAGAGCAAAGCAACTGCGAATGTTGCTTTGTGCAATTAAATGCGTTCTCAGCTCGTACGCACACATGCGACAATCGTTAGAAGGTCCGCACAGAAGGTAATGATAATAATTATACGGACCGGGGGCCACATGTTTCGGTATGTGGTATATGGCATGTGCCCCGTGCGTGTGCGCCTAATTACAATAAATTTGGCTAATTATTGTCTGGCATTTGCGGCCCCTGTAAACTTTAAGTAGCGCTTGCAACAATATCGCACAGACAAAGTTTTTCCATCGATATGGTCGTGAGCAGCCGCATCCAGAAGCGCAGCAGTAACAAAGTTGGAGACTGAGGCCAACGTCTGGCTAATTGTCTTGTAAATTATGATAAGGAACTTTCACTCTCAACTTGAGAGCCGGTTAAAAGGGTCAGTTAGGTCACCTGCATATGGGAGGAACCAAAAAGTGTGCACTGCTCGCAGTTGATTTGAGTGGCATTTAAAGGCGTGACGCTTTGTTAGGGGTTGAGTAATAGCATTATATGATATGCATATATCCTACTTAATGCATGCAATTTATAATACAGTTACGTATACCTATGATGGTAGAGCTTAACGGATTTATAATTATAATTATACATAACTCAAACCTTATTTTAAAAAGTTCAATAATAATAATATACATATACAAATATATATATAATATATACGAATAATTGGAAGTCATGCCAAATAATTTCAAATGTTGATAAATATTTAGTGCAGCAATTTAAATAATTGACAAAACAGAATTTAACAAATAAGATAATACAGAAATTGTAATATTTAAAATATAATATATATTTTGTTAAGTGTGTTAGTATATTCTTAATAATTAAAAAAAGTAATGAAAACTTTGAATTATTCTAGCTATTTATTATATTAATTTAGTCTCGAACTCTACCAACCATTTATTTCTTTTGACAATTTTTAAGCAGAGTTGAGAAAGCGGAATGCTTGAGTTCAATATTTGCAATGTCGTGACATCTTAAGACTTTCACAAAGCCATCACATGGTATCTGTTATTACAATCCTCATCTGTCGTCGCAGATATTTTTAACAATCATTGCAAATCAAAACAAATGCCAAACGATTTGCTTTATGTGCAACTGCAGTGATTTGCCTAGGGAATGTGCCTGTCAAGCCTTTCATTTTTTATTGCCCCGCAGCGCCCAATCCCATTGCCCAGCCCTCGACATCCTTTGCCACTGTTGCAACATATTGGCGCTTCATAAAGTGGGCGCTTCTCCTTGCTTCGTTCCACTCTCCGTCTTCCCCCCTGCCGCGTTGCAAGTAGCGAAATGCAGTCAACTCGTGCGCCAGCTGAGCGCGCAATTTAGCACAACAATGCGATACGTATACGCCCCGTTGTAGCCCCTTAGTAAGTCATGTGTTGGCATGTCTTCTGCTGGCTGGCTGGCTGCTACTGCCATTTAGAAATGCTTTTGTCTTGGCTTCGGTCCCGGTTCCACGCTGCCAGCGAGTGCCGTTTGTTTTTTGTCTTGCCAAATGCGCCATATTTCTGAGTTTATGTCTTCGTTTTCTAGCAAATATTTCCACAGACCAACAGTTGGAGCGAGGGGGGTAGACTGTAATGCATATGTTCGGCCTGTCGTCGTTTTGTTTTATTGCATATTTATATTTTATAGCGAAAGTAGC